TGCTGCTTCCATCAATGTCCTCACTTTGTGACTCAAGGGAATACAGATTGGGGCTCTTGAAGGTGGCTTCAGCAAGTGGGCAGCCTCATGGGGGGGGGGGAGATGATCTCTAAAATAAGATCTCCCCTGGAACAAATACTGCAGCTGGTGAGCAAAGCGATTTCCAAAGGAAATTTAATTAGGCAGAAACTCCATTCTGCTCTGTAGCCTGTCCTTTGCAGGTCCCATGACCACAAATAAAGTTGCACTGAAATGCCAGATAATCTGAGGAGTGGGGGAATTATTTGGGCAGTGGGGGGAGGAAAGTCTTCTCTTGCTGTGCTTTTGAGCAGATCTGGAAGCTGTAGGAGGATCTTGTCTTAAGAAGATAGGATTGGGTTGGATAAATATCTTCAAGGGTTTTATGTCACACAAGTTTTGGCTTCCTCTCTCCATGCCTGTAAAAGAAATGAAAACTCTGTATTGACCGGAACATACATATTATTTAAAAACAGCTTTCCAAACCATCTGAGCACCACGCAACAAACCACAGATGATCTTCCCAGGAGCGAAAGGCATTCTAAAGTATCATTTGTAGCCTTTTCCCAAGCAAGGAACTCTCCTAACACTTCATGGCCCAGCACTGTCTTAACAAAGCCCTGCTCCGTCTTTGTTTTGCTGTGCAGAATCAGCCCTGATAACCGGTTCCTCGCAGTGGGCTCCCAGGAACACACCGTTGACTTCTATGATCTCACCCAAGGCACAACCTTGAACCGCATCGGCTACTGTAAAGACATCCCAAGCTTTGTCATTCAGATGGATTTTTCCGCAGACAGCAGATACATTCAGGTAGGTTTTTGCCTTCATTTCCTTTCTTTTCTATTTTTGAAATTAAGATTTACAGCTCTTCTGATATAGAAGGCTCCATACTGGTGATAGTGTCCCGGATGAAATGGATTCTTGATGCAAAATATGGCTTTCTTGCACTTGGGTGGTTTAATGGTAAGGAGCCGCATGCAACCCATCCTGGGACCGCATGGGGAAGGGCCAGGCTATAAATGTAATTATTTATTAACAATATGAATACGCTGCTTATACAGTGGTACCTCTGGATATGAACGGGATCCGTTCCGGAGCCCCGTTCGCATCCAGAAGTGAACGCAACCCGCATCTGCGCATGCGTGGGTCGCGGGTCGCGATTCGCCGCTTCTGCACATGCCCGTGACAACATTTTGAGCATCTGCGCATGCGCGAGCGGCGAAACCCGGAAGTAACATGCTCCGTTATTTCCGGGTCACCGCAGTGCACAACCCGAAAATACTTACCCCGAAGCTGCTTCAACCCAAGGTATGACTGTATACGGTTATTTAAATGCCTATAAAACAAAAGGAGAGAGGCAGAGGAGAGGGAAAGAAGGCAGTGAATGAAAATAGGCAGTCTTACGTTTCATAGATCAAAATGCTGCTGTTATAATGCCTGTGGTACAGATATAAAACTAGCATGTCAGGCAGAAGGCAAGCCTGGAATATCCTTCACCCTGACCAGGGCTGTAGCTAGGGGGTGGTGAGGTGGGCCCCTGCCAGGGCCACAGGCGAGTATGCAAAATCAGCTAAAAATATGTCCATAAATATATCTATAAATTAAAATATCAATTATTGCCTCATAAGAAAAGGTTTTAAATAGAGGGTAAATTGAATGGGTGGAGGGGGGTGGTTGAAGGAGAGGAGGAAAGAGGAGCTAATTTGTCCATGGCTAGGGATCACAATCTGTACCAGGCTTCCTCAAACCCAGCCCTCCAGATGTTTTGAGACTACAATTCCCATCATCCCTGACCACTGGTCCTGCCAGATAGGGATCATGGGAGCTGTAGTCCAAAAAATATCTGGAGGGCCGAGTTTGAGGAAGTCTGATGTGGACGGTTCTGCCAGGGGTTCAAGATCACCTAGCTACGGCTCTGACCTGACCAGGCAGCTGGATCGAGGCGGGTCGGGGCTGCTGATTCTTCTAGACCTGTCAGCAGCCTTCGACATGGTCGATCACGAACTCCTGGACCACCGCCTTGCCGATGTGGGGATCCAGGGCAAAGTCCTTCAATGGCTGCGCTTGTTTCTCTCTGGTCGGGGACAGAGGGTGGCGCTTGGGGGGGAATTGTCATCGCGCCACTCCTTGGTGTGTGGAGTGCTTCAGGGTGCGATTCTCTCCCTGATGCTTTTCAACATCTTTATGCGCCCCCTCGCCCAGCTTGTCCGGAGTTTTGGGCTGGGTTGCCATCAGTATGCCGATGACACCCAACTCTATCTGTTGATGGATGGCCATCCTGACTCGGCCCCAGACACACTGACCAGATGTCTGGAAGCTGTGGCTGGATGGTTACATGGGAGCCGGTTGAAGTTAAATCCTTCAAAGACAGAGGTCCTCTGGCTGGGACGAGACGATATGGGATTGAGGGGGCAACTCCCATCTCTTGCGGGGGTGCAATTAGTGCCAGCATCGTCCGTTAAGAGTTTGGGTGTAATCTTCGATACCTCCCTCTCTATGGAGGCACAGATTACAGCTATAACAAAGGCGGCATTTTTTCATCTCCACCAAGCTAAGCAGTTGGCTCCTTACCTCTCTCGCCCTGACCTAGCCACTGTGATCCACGCGACGGTCACCTCCAGACTGGATTATTGTAACTCACTCTACGTGGGGCTGCCCTTGAGACTGACCCAGAAACTCCAGCGGGTGCAGAATGCCACGGCGAGACTCCTTATGGGGTCTTCGCTGCGAGATCACATTCATCCGGTACTATACCAGCTGCACTGGCTCCCGGTGGAGTACAAGATCAGGTTTAAGGTACCGGTTTAAACCTTTAAAGCCCTATACGGCCTAGGACCCTCGTACCTACGGGCCCGCCTCTCCTGGTATGTCCCACAGAAGAACTTACGGTCTGCAAATAAAAACATCCTGAAGATCCCAGGCCACAGAGAGGTTAGGCTGGCCTCAACAAGAGCCAGGGCTTTCTCGGCCGTGGCTCCAATCTGGTGGAACGCTCTGTCACAAGAGACTAGGGCCCTGCGGGACCTGACATCTTTCCGCAGGGCCTGTAAGACAGAGCTGTTCCACCAGGCCTTTGGTCAGGGCGCAGCCTGACCCCCTCCTCTGGCAATCTGCACAGAATTTTGCCATCAATTTGATTTTAATTAATTTTTATAATGAAAGGTTTTTAGAATGTTGGATTATTTTGATTGTTGTTAGCCGCCCTGAGCCCAGCTTCGGCTGCAGAGGGCGGGATATAAATAAAATTTATTATTATTATTATATCTGTTCTTAATGTGCAGAAATGCTTTTCCACAAGGGTTTAATGTGATAGAGTGAATTGCTAACTTCAGACTGACATTGTTCAGTCCAGGCAAAAGTTCATTGGCAGAGTGAAAGCTAAGCCAAAGTGAACAAGCCATTTCAAGGAATTTCATGTGATGCATGTGCTTCAATCACATTTGTCACATTCACACTTGACACAGAAAAAACATAGAGCATTAAGTAGCCTGACAGCCAGCACAGCAAATCCTAGCCGTTGTTTCCTACTCAGATTCCTGCATTGCAGACACTGCATGGACTTCGGAAGGTTTTCTCTGAAGAATGTGCAAAATGACCTTTCATACATATAGAGAAAGCTATATAAATGGGTATAAAATGTGTGTGACTCTGTGAATGTGCTTCCCTGGAGCTGAGCTCATTTGTGGCATAAGTACATATGAGTAGGAATAAAGGCACCTTTTCAGGTTGAAGCTAGTGAGTATACTACCGCATACAAACCCTTTAGTCTGGTAACAAATTAATCTTTATGGTTCATAGAATTGTAGAGTTGCTTGGAATACAAATTTCATCTGCAGGAATCTTTTGTCCAATGTGATGGCTGGAACCTATGCCCTTTTGACATCCTATGCCCTTTTAAAATGTGGGGGTTTGGGGGGGAAGTTATTGGGTTGCACTGATTACAGTGGTACCTCGGTTTTCAAACATCTCCGTTGACGAACATTTCGGTTTTCGAATGCCGTAAACCTGGAATTAAATGCTTCAGTTTTCGAACACGCCTCCGAAGTTGAACACGGCATGCGGCTTCCACTGAGTGCAGGATCCTGAGACCTAGCTGTCGGCTATTGAGGTTTCGGTTTTCGAACGTTTGGAACGGTCTTCCAGAATGGAGTACGTTCGAAAACCAAGGTACCACTGTATATATTTTGTGGTTTTATATTTTGATTTTGTTCTGTGAACCGCCCTGAGACCTCTGGGTATAGGGCGGTATATAACTTCTAATAATAATAATAATAATAATAATAATAATAATAATGACGGAACAGGGTGGCAAGGCATGGTACTCAAGATCTGTAGTGGCCTAAGAAATGTTCGACAGTGGGATGGTCTCCCTCGGAAGGTGGTGGACTCTCTTTCCTTGGAGGTTTGTAAGCAGAGGTTGAGCGGCCATCTGTCTTGGATGCTTTAGCTAAGATTCCTCCCATTGCACTGGATTCAATGACTCTTGGGGTCCCTTCAATTCTACAATTCTCTGATTCTATTACCTTTCCCTGCTTATATCTCAGATAAAGCAAAACAGGCAGGGAGTCATAATCCGCAAGCCTGCATTTGTTAACACAGAAATGCCACTTAGCATATGCATTTGCCCGGCCTATGGATTAATTCCTTCATGTTTTCTTTTAGAGAACCGTGTTTCATTAAGGAGAGCCGCAGACCTATGGCACTGCTAGCTGCCATGGTAGATGCTAGACATGGAGACCAAGTGTTTTGGCACCATCCTTGTGACGATCATGATGTCTTGCCTTCCTCAGGTATCAACTGGTGCCTATAAACGCCAAGTCCACGAGGTGCCATTAGGGAAGCAGGTGACGGACGCAGCGTTCATCGGGAAGATCACCTGGGCCACCTGGACAAGGTGATGCGGCACAAAAAGAGCTGTGAGCTTCACAGTGGTACAGAAGCAAAAGATACAAGGGATGGGTGGCAGGAGAGCAGCATCGTGAGCCATAGTTCAGTGGTAGAGCATCTTCTTTGCATGCAGAAGGTCTTGGGTTTGATTCCCGGCGTCTCCAGGTAGGACTTGGAAGTGTCCCTTGCCTGGAACCATGAAGAGCTGCTGCAAGTCTTTGTGGACAATAATGAGCTAAGCAGGCCAGTGATCTGACTCCAGTATAACGCAGCTTCTTATGTTCCTAATCTCACCCGGTAAGAATTCACCCACTTGTAATGGGTGACAAAATACACCCTGTTCTCCACCCCAGTCAATTTGCTGGAAACTAATTGGGAGAAGAAAAGGCTGAGGAGTAAATCCTACACAAATCTGGAGTGCTGTCCCCAAGGCAGTTGGGTAGCGCCTTGTACGCCTCCTTCCAGCAACTCCTGCAGGCCAAGCTGGTGCCAAACGTATTGCTCTGCTTTCTTTTGGACCACATTGTGGGAATGTTAAAGGCAGTAGGAAAGGATATATTGAGTAAGTGATATCCTGCCTTCACTCACGCCAATAAGTGATGTAGCAGAGCCGATTCCCCTTCAATAAAGCTGGAAACTAGATTGCAGATTCGTTTGAATCTCCTAGTTAAGATTATTTCCTGGTGTCCCCTTTGATCCCTCTTAAAAGAATAAAGGCACAAGAGTCTTTCTGAGTAAAGTAACAAAAAGTTTACTCACATTTCAGTTCACGATTTGATCCCTGAAAGGCGGGCTTTGCTTAATGGTTACACAATAAACTGTGAGTTCATCTCATATGGAGACTGAAGTCATGTGTTGCTGGCTAAGAGCCAGCAGACAGCAAAATTACAGTCAGATAGCAAAATGGCTGCAGGAGAGCAGCATGGCAGCAAAAGAACAGCAAGACAATAGAAAGACAAAAGTAGACTGAGAAAATGGCTGCATGACTCGGCTTTCCCCTGCCTGTGCCCAGCTAGGGAAATCAGGAATGACCATACCAATGGATTACATCCCATACACATCAGTGAGGCCAAGGTGGGGTCTTGTTGTCTGGGCAGCCCAGGACCTCCATACATTGTCCAGACTTGCACCCCAGAGAGGTCACTTTGGTGTTGCTAACATAGCAAAAATGACATGGGAGGCAGCAGTTATGAGTTTCCGGTCTCTGCAGCCACAGCAGGTGCTGTGATTCTCCAGCAATTTCACTTCGCTCCCAGAGGTACACTACATTGTCTTTGGAGACAGATGGATGCCAACACATGTGGGCTGGCTGCCTCTGTGCTGCCCAAAGCATCTTCTCTGAGAGATCTCAGTATATGTTTTCTTTTAAAAAAACAACAACATACCTGGCTCCCTAAGGGCTTTACTGTCTTCAGAAACACATGCCCCAAATGCTATACTATCTTTTTTCTTTCTTCTTTCACCATTGGAGCAGTATCCTTGGAGATGAGGTCATTGGTATTTGGCCTCGAAATGCGGATAAGGCAGATGTCAACTGCGCTTGCGTAACCCATGCTGGCTTGAACATTGTCTCCGGGGACGACTTTGGACTAGTCAAACTCTTTGACTTCCCCTGCACTGAAAAATTTGTAAGTCGGCTTTCTAGCTTTGTGGTGTCTGTGCACAGAATCAGAAAATGGGGTGAGGTGCTGAATTCATGAATAAACAAGAGAGGAAATTTTCTTAGAATGCCAAAAAAATTTTTTTTTAATTGCCTGGTGCATTTTGGAGGCCAGGCATCTGGCAAAGGAGGAAACTGTAGTTGTATATATTTTTGCAGGGAATCCCCGCGACGGGGTGAGCTCCCATTGTTCAGTCCCGGCTCCTGCCAACCTAGCAGGTCTAAAGCATGTCAAAAGTGCAAGTAGATAAATAGGTACCACTCCAGTGGGAAGGTAAACGGCATTTCCGTGTGCTGCTCTGGTTTTGCCAGAAGTGACTTAGTCATGCTGGCCACATGACCTGGAAAAACTGTCTGCAGACAAACGCCAGTTCCCTCAGCCAGTAAAGCGAGATGAGCACTGCAGCCCCAGAGTCGTTCGTGACTGGACTTAACTGTCAGGGGTCCTTTACCTTTACATTTTTATTGCCCCCAAGACAGGAATTTCTTGTTTCCAAACTGTGCCGCACAGCAATAAAAAATTGGGACACGGTGATAACTTTTTCTCTCCAGTTTATTCCTGGTTGCATCTACCAGGGATGGTTAGATGTGAGAATTTCAGTTTCTCATTTTTCCCAGTTTTAAGTTCAATTCTCCACATCATCTCGTGATTTATTTATTTTTAAGTCCTTCTGAGAATTCATCAGCATCTTTGTGCAAATTTCTCCCAATATACACATTTTGGGGTGCTAATTTCCCAAAATATGTGCATTTTTGCAAAGCAATTCCCCCCCAATACATTTCCTGCATGTTATTTTCATGAATATCTGGATATTTATCCTAACGTATACATTGTGAAACACATTACTTAACTGTAGAATTGCACTGCAAAATCTGAGGAACAGAGAATCTCAAAGGGTGGCCTTGTTTCGGTTCACACATTGTTTCAAACAGTGCAAGTTATATAGGTTCACCTTTAAAGGCCGACCAAGTTGCATTCTGCCCCTGCCTTGGTTCAGGCTTCTGTCTCCCCACTTACAGCATATAGGTGAAATCATGTATAGTGGGGGAAACCATCTACAAAGCCTGTAAACCCCTCTCTAAACTTCTGGAAACCCTTGAAAACCCCCTTTAAAAAACCAGACGGGGATAAATGGTAGCAAAGGTGGCTCTCTGTCTTCCTTATCGCTAGAGGACGATTTGGAAATGACAACAAGGGATGTAGACCAGTACCCCGAAGTGCCTGGCTGTGATTCAGAAGTAGACTCCTGGGATCACTAGCTGCTTTCCCACTCTTTCCAGGGTGTTTTTGTCTCTTTTGTGCCTTTTTGGAGTTTAAATTGATTTATTTATCCCCCCCCCCGGCACTGCGCATATATGCAGTTGTTCTCAAGTTAAACACACATGAGGAGGGAGATGCCTGTATATAGAACCATATTATGGGTTCTCAGAAGTGTTCAGATGCCCGTGATCAATGTAGTCGGTCTTCATTGCATTCTGACGATTAAAAAACACCGCAGTTGCCAATGTGGATGGAACGAGACGGTGCTTTTTGTGTGTGAGAGAAACCTTGCCTTTTCCCAACAGGCCAAACACAAGCGTTACTTCGGCCATTCAGCTCACGTCACCAACATACGCTTCTCTCACGATGACAAGTACGTTATCAGCACAGGAGGGGATGATTGCAGGTAACTTTTTGCATTTGTTTATGCCGAGCTGAGTGTTGGGTTTGGGTGTGAGAAAGCAGAGTTCGGGTCCCCGCGGGGAGATTCACACTCAACTTAGCCCGCTTCGCAAGGCTCTTGGGAGGCGAGAAGATACTGCTTTGAGCTCTTGTGGTGGAGAGGACAAAAGAATAAAAGAATATCAAATGGAAGAAGTCAGTGCTAACTGCCAGATCCTACAAGCTGCTGTAGGAAATGGTGGCAAAGAGACACACAGACTCATCCAACCATAGCTGTCAACCGTCCCTCATTTGGCGGTAAACTCCCTTATCCCAGCGCCATGTCCCGCTACTGTCCCTTATTGATGATATCCCGTAAATTTCCTGGGTTTCAAAGGAAGCAGCTCCTCTCCCTCCCTCCCTGCCGGCCAGGGAGGAGGGAAGCTCCAACTGTGTTGCTCGGCTACGTTGCTCACTCAATAAGGAGTCTAAGAACGACTGGGGGGTGGAGCTTGCATGCCTTGTGCCGATCAAATCGGCCGCGTTGCCTGGGGACTCGCCTTTGCTCAGCGCTTCCCAGCGGAAAGGTGACGGTGGTTTTCCTTGCTGCATCCCCTTTGCCGGGTTGCTGCGCTGTGGGAACCACCGCTCGAGGCTTCGTTTGGCTGCTGGCTGGGCTTTCTGCCTTTGGCTCGGAGGGGCTCAGAAGTTGAACATACCTGTGTTTGGAAAATCCCTTATTTTGGCTGCTGATCCATTATTTTTGAGGCTGCTGGTCCCTTGTTTTCAAATCTGTAAGTTGACAGCTATGCATACAGCCCTTTGCTGGAACAAGTCGGCAGTTGGGCAGAGCAAAGGATGTAAACTTTGCCTTTCTGCAGTAGGCTGGATTCCTTACAAACATTCTTTATCTTCCATCCAGACAAGTGGAATAGTTTATAAGCAGAGGTTGGCCATCTGTCATGGATGCTGTAGTTGAGGTTCCGGCAATGCTGGGGTGACAATACTAGGTGACACTCAAGAGTCTCTTTCAACTCTAAGATTCTCTGATTCTGTGATTATTCAGCCAGGCAAAAGCACTTGGGTGGGGATAGTTCTGAGGGCCAGATAAAGAAGCCCAGGGGGCCACATTCCAGCCCTGAGCATCCTCACCTCTAGTTCACACAGTACGTAGCTGGATGGGCTCAATGATCTCCCTCAGTGAAAGGCAGCCATCTGTTAAGCAGTCATACCTCGGGATGAATACTCTTCAGCTTAAATATTTTCGGGTTGCACTCCGTGGTGACCCCGAAGTAACTGAGCGCGTTACTTCTGGGTTTCGCCGCTCGCACATGCGCAGACGCTCAAAATGACGTCACGCACATGCGCGGAAGCGGCAAAACGCAACCCACGCACGTGCAGATGCACAGTCGCATCTTACATTCGCTTCAGGATGCGAATGGGGCTCCGGAACAGATCCCGTTCACATCCAGAGGTACCACTGTATTCCTCTTTTCCATTCCTCCAGAGAACCTCGGGCTTGGGAGGCACTTGCAGCCCTCAGCCCTTGCGACTCTCCCCAGACCAGGCCCCTTCCACAGCCGGGTCCCTTGACATCCTCTTTGATCCTCCCTGGCTGCACCTTCCTTGGGTTTCGCCACCTGGCTGGGATGTGAATTCTGATCATGCTTCTTGCCCATCGGAATGGAGGCTGACGAGGGAGAAACTTGCCTACTGTACAAAAATGTGGCCCCCAGTCAGGGAGTGGAGCCCTCAGGCTACAGAAAAATAGACCTTAGGGCCTGATCAGTCTGCTTTTGCCCCCCTCCCTCCCTTGCCTTCCCTCTACTGGGTGAGAGGAGATTGCTTGCGCCACTTCTGTTTCCTCTTGCAAGCCAGGAAAACAGCATTGAGCAGCAGGAGGGGTGGAGCAGGGCCCCTTCTGAAGAGAAGGCCATAAATAAACGGAACAGTTGTTACCGTCGCAAGGAAATGTTGGAAATGCTTAAACTCGGCTACAGTAAACACGTAGGAAGCAAACCAAAGGGCATTGCTCAAGACGTTAGGCAGCCCGGATTGAATGTTGCACACGGGCAAAATTGGATTTGTGAACCCAGGTCACCGGTAAGCCAATATCTCTGCCATCCTCTGTTCCTTCATCTACCAAATTGCAACGTACATGTCTGGGTTCTTACAAGAATGAGAGGTGCAGTGATTATCAAAAAGCCTCCATGTCAGAAATAGAAATGTGAAACTAATAAAAAATAAAATGAAAAATTAACCCTCACTATTCACGTTTGAAGTCTTTCATGTCCCTGGCTTGCCTTAATGCCCCAAGTAATATTCAACTGTCTTCCCTGTGTCATTGGAAGGAATTTGGGGGGCGGATCTGAGTCACTAAACAGCTGCAAGAGTCTGGCATGGAGAAGATGCCGTTTTGCACAGGCCTTAGCCGGACTGTAATGAACAAATTCTAGGTCTGAGAGGATGCAGCTGAAGTCTTATGGCCTGTAGAGATTCACTTTTAATATACAGTCGTACCTTGGATCTCAAATGCCTTGGCTCCTGAACAAATCGGCTCCTGAATGACCGGAACCCGGAAGTGAGCATTCCGGCTTTCGAACGTTCCTTTGGAACCCGAACATCCTACGCGGGTTCCGCATGTTCTCATTGGCTGCAGGAGCTTCCTGCAGCCAATCAAAAGCCGCACTTTGGTTTCCAAACATTTTGGAAGTTGAACAGACTTCTGGAATGGATTCCGTTCGACTTCCAAGCTACGACTGCATAGTATGTATTACTGGATGGGGTATATTTCTTGAATTAGAATAACCATGCAGATAAGGAAGTTGGAGGGCAGAGCCAGGTTGCCAGTTAAGTTTTGCAGAAGTCTTGATTTCAACCACACATGTGCACACAGATGGTAATTGACATTTCTTCCTTTCTAGCGTCTTTGTATGGCGATGCCTTTGAAGGTCAGTTTCCTCCAGTGCCGCTCTTGCTACCACCGCCACGTGAGTGCCAAACAGGGATGCCTCCCAAGACTTCAACAGGAGGCTTTCTAACAAAACGCTGCGTAGATTCTAAATGTGTGAAACTTGACCTACGTTGGATGCCACAGCCATCCCCCAACCATTCAACCATTGCAAAAGAAGAAAACATTACTGTATTTTTCCATATATAAAACTAGGTTTTCCCCCTAAAAAATAATGTCCAAAATTTGGGGGGCGTCTTATACACGGATAGAATCCCCCCAAAAAATTGGAGTCCCCAAAAATAGGGGGTGAATTATACATGGGGGCATCTTATAGACGGAAAAATATGGTAATTGATTTGGTCCTTAAGACTGAAGGATGCCCCGTTTGGTTTGTGCTAACGTTGATCTGTCATGGGTGCTTCAGGTGAGATTCCTGCATTGCAGGGGGTTGGACTAGATGATTCTGGGGGGGAGGGGGGTCCCTCCCAATTCTATGATTCTAAATCTCTCTTGCTGAAAATCAAGAGTCCTAATCTGCAAAACCTAGCCCATAGTGCAAACTTAAGCTTCAGTAGCCTTTTTGCCAACAAAACGAGTTGCGATTTGAAGATAATTTTTAAAAAGTATTCATGTTTTTTCATAAACCCAACCATTCTGAAACCACCCACTACAAAACCTTATTGGGCAAGGGCTCCGGAGTAAAGAAAGCTTTGAGCCATGGCTAATTTTATACTGACCAAATTATCATTACCCCCTCCCCTCCCCAGATATTTCCGGTTTTAAAAATAAGTTCATTTGCCAGTTTCCTATGAAGTGCCTTTTGAAAGCTTTGCCAGTGGTACAGGATTCCTGCCTGTGTCTGCTTTCTACTCTCGGTGCTACAACTTCCACAACTGACGAGGGCTGACAAAGTCATTCCCCCTCCTGCCCTCCCACCCTCGATGTTCAATTCTCTCTTCTTTTGCATTTAATCTGTCTCAGTATTTTAACTTGAGTCTCAACTGGTTCTTTTAACAAGAGTGGGTGGGGTGCAAGGAAAGTCTCTTATAAATAACTGCCTGTCAAATTAAATCTGCAACATATCTAACACAGTCTTGAGGATAGGAATGGGGGCCTTGTGGTCCTCTGGGTGTTGGTCAACTCCTACTCAGGTTTCCATAAGGAAAAGGGGGAGATTATTCTCTTTCTGGCCCCCTCCCACTTGCAGAAGAACCTTTTCCCGCTGCGTTTCTAGATCGGGGCCAATAACGGCAATGCTTTGAGGAATAAACCTTCCTCCACCTTTGTTCCAAAGATTTGGCAAACAATTCGGCAGCTACACACACAGCCTCTCAGGCAGGGAACCAAGAAGCTGCAGAATTTTGTTCCTCACCCAGAAAAATCCAATAGCAGTGGTAGAACATGCCTCCTATACTTGGAACATTGCAGGTTCAGTTTCCTGCACTTCGTAGTGGAGTTACAGGGAGGAAATGGAAAGATCCTTTTGCCCCCAAGGTACTGGGACACGGGTGGCGCTGTGGGTTAAACCACAGAGCCTAGGACTTGCCGATCAGAAGGTCAGCGGTTCGAATCCCCGCAACGGGGTGAGCTCCCATTGCTCGGTCCCTGCTCCTGCCAACCTAGCAGTTCGAAAGCACGTCCAAGTGCAAGTAGATAAATAGGTACCGCTCCAGCGGGAAGGTAAACGGCGTTTTTGTGCGCTGCTCTGGTTCGCCAGAAGCGGCTTAGTCAGGCTGGCCACATGACCCGGAAGCTGTATACTGGCTCCCTCGGCCTATAGAGCGAGATGAGCGTGCAACCCCAGAGTCGTCCGCGACTGGACCTAATGGTCAGGGATCCCTTTACCTTTACCTTACTGAGTCCGGGTGCTATGGTTAAGGCTGCAATAGTTAGCTGGCCAATGAAGGGAAAGGGCTCCTCCTATCCTCTTCGCCAAGTCAGGCAGGGGCCACCACCAGCTGCTGAAAGAGACTACTGCGTTCTCCTTTGCTAGCAATACTCTGCAAACAGATAGCCTCCCTGCAAAGGGACAAGCAGCAAGGTTTGACGTGCAAATATCTTTGTTCCAACAAGCTCCGCTTGAGGAAAGCCACGCGGGTAAGCAGCTCACTCCCAGGTTTAAGAGAGAGCCAAAATAAAACTGGAGAGGGGATCAATGTGCAAAAGTGCTACCATTTGTTGAGAGTCGATCAATAGAATATATTAATGCCTTACATGCCTCTATGATTTCCGACACACAGGTCCCTATGCAGTCTTATTCCCACACTCTTCTCTGTTAAGGAAGCCTTTCTGTATTAGGCAGTGTAATCATATCGAGCCGTTGATGTCAGATGGTCACCTTGTTTGCCTATGTTGTAATGCTGGCCTTTTCATATTGATTGTATCCTAATTCTTTTTTTAAATAAAAAAAAAAGTGACAGAATGAATTGCTATGTAGTGAAATTGTGCAAAAAATATTTAAGAGCAATAGAGTGTGTGTGTGCCAGGAAGAGATTTGTTTGTATTTGTTTATATGGTTTGATTTTAGGAACAATGTGCTCCTGGTGCTGTATTATAATGTAAATTAAAATAGTACTTGCATGAGTTTATTTTTCAAGCGATCCAGTAAAAGATTTATGATTTGAAAACAGCTGCGTGTCAAGATTTTTCATTCGAGGTCTGCAGCGCGCCAAAAACAAGCAGACTGGTCTTTGCCCGGCTGCCCCTTCTTCTTACAGCATTGATCGTAGACAGCAAAGATCTCATTTGTCAAAAGTTCCCAGAACAGATAAATAAAAGCTAGTGACTCATTCACATACTTTTTCTGGAAAAAAAATATTTTTTTTAAAGAGAGTAGAAGTGGCACACACTAGCTGCCCTTTTATTTTGTCACATGATCTTGAACAGGGGTCGGCAGCTTGCGGCCCATGGGCCATAAGCAGCCCACGGAGGGTCATTTAAACAGCCCACGAGCTGCCCCTGAACCAAGCCGCTCACTCAGCGAGTCCCCATGCGCTGCACTAAACCAGCGCAGCGCGGAGCGGGGACTCGCTTCCGCAGTGCAGAAAATCACGTATGTGCAGATGCCGGAAATCACATCGGTGCAGATGTGATCCAGCCCATGGAGCAATCTCTGCGGGAGTGAACCAGCACAGGCGAGGTAAACCTTGCTGACGCCTGATCTTGAACACTAAATCAGAGGTAGCCAATATGTTGTCTGTGAGATGCTGCTGCCTTTCAGCTGCCATCAGCCCCAGTCGCCATGGACAATGGGGGTCAGGGATGCTGGAAGCTGTCGTCTGAACTGGACTTATTGCAGTATTTCTTCACTAGTGAATTGGAGCCTTAAGTGGCAAAGTACATGTACCAATCTACCACCATGCAGCAACTCAGCATACTTTTCGGTGGAGAGGATTCACACATTCAAGATGAATACCTGTAATTTACCGGTCCCTGCACTCATACTTAATTTGCTAAACAACACACAACCATTTAAGTCTATACGCTTTATTGATACTCAAATTGTTTTGTTTTTACATTTCACAATGCATTCCACAGACTTAGTTTAATACAGCTTGAACCGCAAGTGTATACATTTTTTTTTCATTTGCAATTTCTTGCATTCACAAGGTTCGAAATTTCCAAACGACATTTGCAGCATCGGGGCACAACCCGCTGACCCATGCACAGGCGCTGAGGATTCCGAGCACATTGGAGAACAAGCATGCTGGGTACTCCTTGCCAGTGCCTCGCAAGGATCTTGGGAGTCACACCTTCAGAAATTCCTTCCACAGATCCAGAGTTTTGAGAGGCTGTAAACTTATTTACTCAAAATAGACTATAGGAGGTTTGTGCAGCAAAAGTTATGGTGGAAAACTGTGTAATGTGCAAGAAGAGTTGGGTGTTTTCTTTCTTTAATAGATGCTAGTGTTTTTTTTCCTGAAGATTTAAGCTAAATGGAGCTAAAACAAAACCCAAAACAAAACCCAGTTCCGTTCTCTGATATTCCAAGCACTGTGGAGGAGCTGGACATCCTAAGCTGCTGTGAAACACTATATATATATATTTATATAACTTTTATATTGGCAATTGATAAAACAGTAAAATTAAAAAGCACAATACGGCTACACTCGATACCAAACGGGCAAGGCTTTTTAAGCTTGCTTTAATGGCATATTCTTCTACACATCTCTCTCTTTTTTTTAAAAGAAAATCTGCAATCAACCTACACAGACCAGAGACAGTGCTAAACTGAAATGCTCTCCCTGCACTCCAGCGGCACTGCGCTGACTCGAAACGCAGCAAGACTACCTTGGCTGAAGCATAAAATGTACAGCTCTCCAGTCTGTTATGTTAACCAGTGCTGCACACGGGAGAAGCAAAAGAGGATTAGGTTTAAATCCATACATAGCAGCTTACAATACTTATGATGAACACACATGGCAGTCAAGAACAGGGAGTCAAGAACAGGTTATTTCCCCCGGCCTCAAAACACTGCGTTGCTAAAAAATAAAGATCTGTGAAATTGCACTGCAATGTCAAGGTTTTGCTATTCCCTGACCCTCCCCACGTAATCCAAATGAATATGCCTCCCCTTCCCCACTTAAAAGATGAACTCCTATTTTTAATAAAAGTTGCTTTAGGTTTTTCATTCGGCTTTGCGTTTCACCCCGGGGATTTTAGCTTGGATCCTGCAAAGAAACAAAAACAAGGCGTTTTAAATGTTATGCCTCCTGCCTTCCCCGATACCCCATAATCCCCCAGAGTCGGTGAAGCACATTCGACATAAAACCAAGCCTTTAAGTGGCATTGGTCCAGCTGTGTGGAATGCTCTCCCAACAGAAATTCAACATGCATCTCCTGTTTTAACTTTTAAATGATGGCTGAGAATTATCCTGCCAGTTAGAGTACTACTGGCACAGAAATGGAAACAAGAAGAATTACCGACGAAAGAGGAATGGCAGACGAAACTAATGGACTATGCAGAATTAGACAAGATGACAGGAAGGATTCGAAACCTGTGGGATCAGAGATTCTCAGAGGACTGGAGTAAATATGTCAATTATTTGAAAAGCAATTGTAATCAAGAGATTACGCTAGTAGGATTGCAAGAAGTTTTGTAAGGAGGACTATGTGAAATATTGCAGAGAAAAGTATGAAGAGAATTATTAGTGAAGGACTATTAAAAGTAATAGTGAAATTAATGAAATGCAGATTAAGTGATAAAGAGTGAAAAATCTTCAAATGTGGCTGATGGAAGTCCAAAACACTGAATAAGATAAGAAAATATGTTGTATGTTTTTTTGGAAATTTTATGTAAAAAATAATTTTTTTTTTTAAAGAGAGAATTATCCTGCCAGTTAAGAAAGCATTTTTCTGCAATAGTTAGCTGATGAGCTCCGATTTTAAATCTGCACGTTTTTTATTGTACAGTGGCTACTGCAAACCACTTTGATTTTCAAATTTTATCAAATTGCGGTGTACGAGTATTTTTTATATAAAAAACAAATCAACCTAAGTAGTCCAGTGTAAAAAGTGCAAGCGGACAAAGAGGCTGCAGAGCAAAGAGACTGGGGTGCTGACCATCAAGGACAGGCACCCCTAAACTCGGCCCTCCAGATGTTTTGGGACTACAATTCCCATCATCCCTGACCACTGGTCCTGTTAGCTAGGGATGATGTGAGTTGGAGTGGCAAAACATCTGGAGGGTTGAGTTTGGGGGTGCCTGATCAAGGAGAACAGAAGCAGAAGAACAGAGGGAGAGACGAGAGAGGGAGAGAGAGAGAGAGAGGTCACACAGAAACCCAGAGGCTCTAGTGAATTTCAGTTTTGACCTGAAAATACTTTTCTTTGCAACCTCAAATAGAGTGATAAGTCATCCATAGATGGTAGTTTTGAAAATTACAAGAAGCACAAGTTTAATATGCTCATTCAGCTCACATTCATCTCTCTGCTGTGTGAGATTATTGTATTTATCAGTTGCTCCCTCCCCATAGTGACTTACAAAAACAAAGATTAAAAAGAAAAAGAAAAACAAGCGAAAATACAGTAATATGTCTGAAAGTGCAAATCTAACTCAACACCCTCCCCCCCCCCCGTTTTTAAAAAATAAGCAGAGAGTTAAACTCTAAAGTCTTGAGTAAATAAAAACGCTTCTACCTAAAAACAGACAATGAAAACTCCCCTGGGGAGAGCATTCCAGATTACAGGGCCTTGAAAGAGGTGTGCGCGCACATGCACATGTAATCTCCCACTAAAAATAATATTGAAAGGTATCAGCTACTTTAAAATTATCTTCAAAATTCTATATGCTCACTTTGCCACTGCATCTTTGACATTCTTGTTCACAAGTCCCAGGTAATGGTCAATTTGAACCTGGCAAGTAAAGACACAAGGATGAATTACCATTTCAATAACACAGGAAATCACCATGTATTAACACTTACTTTCTGCTCAACATTCCCCCCATAACCAGGGACAGAGGTTTCCCGCCACCCTAACAAAAAAGGAACATTGATCCCTATTCCACTAGGCCTTGAGAGTAGTTCATGTCTTCTGTATGTGTATCTATTTCAGAACTGTGCAAGGCTTTTTATTTAGTATAGGATTAGTGATGTTTTAAAGATTTGCAGAATCTTCAGTGCCTTTCCCCCTCCGCCCCCAAATCATTTTTATTCATTTCCCCAGTTTTACCAAATCAGCCACAAATTAAGGCAAATTTAATACAATTTTCAGTGTCTGGCAGAGGATGCCTGTAAGTTTATATCTGTCAAGCTTCCTTGTAGGCCCACCGAGCAAAATATAAATTTGACGGCACTGTTGAACAGGGCTCAACAACTTTTGTGTCTGAATTTCCAATTTTTGAAATGTGGCAACCCTACAGTTGAAGATGGTCTAGGAGGAATTTATCCATATATGGGGGCAGAGGGGACCCACTATCTGTTTACTTGAAATGGTGCTCTGCTCTTTTTGCTAGCCTGTTCTCTGAAAGTCTTGCCCCCCTCCAGTCTAGCTCTCTGCCTCCCAGGGTCTCTAAAGCAGGTCATTTGGAGTTGATCAGCTCCAAAGTAGTTTCTCAACCAGGAAAGCCTGCCAAGTCAGCTTAAGAGGAACACCCTCCAGGGACTTACATAACCCCAGCTGAGCACTAGGAACAGCAGCAGCTAAGTAGATCAACAGGAGAAGAGGTGGGATTGTGTTCTGCAGAGCTCTCTCAAATCTTTTTCAGTACACAACTTTTAATAATCCCAATTAACCATCACATTTTTGGCAGAATTGTCAGGGAATACGCGCCACACCGTACACTCACCTGGTGCTTTTCATAAATAATAGGAATACTGAAGAGCGAAATCAGAGCTGGAATGGGATGCAGGGGAAAACAAAACACAAGAAACATCCGTAAGTGTATGCAAATACAGGGATGCAGAAAAGATCAAGTAAGGCAGGGATAGGCAAACTAAGGCCCGGGGGCCAGATGCGTCCCAATCGCCTTCTCAATCCGGCCCGCGGACGGTCCAGGAATCAGCATATTTTTACATAAGCAGAATGTGTCCTTTTATTTAAAATGCATCTCTGGGTTATTTGTGGGGCCTGCCTTGTGTTTTTACTTGAGTAGAATGTGTGCTTTTATTTAAAATGCATCTCTGGGTTATTTAAAGGGACGCGGGTGGCACTGTGGGTTACACCACAGAGCCTAGGACTTGCCGATCAGAAGGTTGGTGGTTCGAATCCCCGCTGCTCGGTCCCTGCTCCTGCCAACCTAGCAGTTCAAAAGCACGTCAAAGTGCAAGTGGATAAATAGGTACCACTCCGGCGGGAAGGTAAATGGTGTTTCCGTGCGCTGCTCTGGTTCGCCAGAAGCGGCTTAGTCATGCTGGCCACATGACCCGGAAGCTATATGCCGGCTCCCTCGGCCAATAAAGCGAGATGAGCGCTGCAACCCCAAAGTCGGCCACGACTGGACCTAATGGTCAGGGGTCCCTTTACCTTTTACTAGGTTATTTGTGGGGCATAGGAATTCGTTCATTTCTCCCCAAAAAAATATAGTCTGGCCCTCCACATGGTCTGAGGGATGGTGGACTGGCCCACGGCTGAAAAAGGTTGCTGACCCCTAAAGTAAGGTGTGCGAATCCAGGCTAAACAAAAATACGAGGCTGCTGCAAATAGCCCTTGCAACAGACAGCAGTCTCTGCATTCTGTGAGTATGGGGTGCAATGCCCCCAAACAATGACTGAGCATGTGATGCTGAGCTGGACAAGCAAAGCAAGGTCCCCAAATACATCATCCAGACACCTATGCACTCACCTGAGGTACTTAAGATAGCTCAGTCGGTAGAGCACGAGACTCTGAATCTCAGGGCCATGCAAGATTCCTGCGTTGCAGGGGTTGGAAGAGATGGTATTTTGTGGTTCCTTCTATGAAGTTGCCTTAGCTCAGACCATACAGACCATAGCTCAGTATCATCTGCCATGGCTGGCTGCAGCTCTTCAAGATTTCAGGCAAAGAATCTTGCACAGCTCTATTAAGAGACTGATGGGTTGAATTTATATACTGCCCTATACCTGCAGGTCTATGCCGGGGATTGAACCGGTGACCTTCTGGATGCAAAGCGGATGCTCTGCCACTGAGCTGCAGCCTTCCCCTTACTTTGCCCTGTAGGAATACTGATCCTGATTGCTACTATTGGCATATCAAGCAAATGACTGTGATCAAGTCAAAAGCAATGGAACCAGCCCTCCTCTGCAAACCCTACAGATTAAAACATGGCGTTTCTACGACTTTCCCCACAAAAACTCTGCAGCCTTTGCCGATTTGCTCTGACGCCTCGGCATCATGATGTGCCGTGACACCAAAATTGCGACGACGTACCGCTTTTCTCAAAAATGCTTTGCATGTTATTTGGTGCAACGTAGTATAGAGAGCCGACTTACCCAGTATCAGCAATGTCAGACCATTGAACAAGGCACCAACGTAGGTGAACACCCACATCAACACGGCAAACTGGAAGAAAAAAGAGAAAGCTGAGTAGGAATGCAGAATGTGGACCATTTATTAGAGCTCAAGCAGGCTTTGCAGTTGCCACGGGCTGGCCGCTATGTGAGGTATGGGGGTGGGAGTGGCTGGAGACTCCCCAAGTGATGGGATCCGCTAGAAGTGTAAGCCATTCTAAAGCCTTGCATGTGGAAAATGGGGGAAGTTGACATGGAAATGTCACTCGCAGCAGCAGCATCTCCCGTGGCAATCTGGCGTTTGTTCCGACTCTTTAGGTGGCCTTCACTAGAAGGACTTATCTGAAGGCAGCATGGAAAGATCAGGCAGCGAAAAGGCAGCGCTCCAGCCTCCGTATGTCAGAGATAATTATAGCCAAAAGGACTTGTAATGGGATCCCACAGACTAGCTTTGAGGTCCCCTGGCCGTGCTGAGAATGACGAAGTGTCTCATAGGATTTCAGGTCTGCTCCATCTCCCTGTGGTTTGTGTGGCCGTGTCGACCACAGAAGAGGTTCAAGTACAAGCAATGAGACAGGCCTTCTGCCATTAGATTTAGGGCTAATAGTAATAATAATAATAGTAATTTATTTATATGCCACTCATCTGACTGGGTTGCCACTCTGGGCGGCTTCCACCAAATCATAAAACCCAAAGCAAACCACAACACATTAGAAACTTCCCTATGCTACTTCCATGCACTTAAGGTCGCTGCGAGCTGCTCATACCACACAGGGAATGTTTCGTTAGCAAGATACCCTCCAAGCAGCAAGCAAGGTTGATATATATTACATAGGGCAGAGGCTTTCAACCTTTTTGGGTCCACGGCTCCCTTGACCAACTACATTCTTTCTGTGGCACCCTTGTGAGCCTCAGGAGCCCAGCTGCGTCACCCCGTGCCTGCAGAGCCGGCAGCCCTTCACCCTTTTCCGAACACCCTGCCTTGTGAAGGGTTCACCCAGCCACCTCTCCTCTCCCCTCTCATTGGGAGTCTGCAGCTGCCGCCTCTGGTCTCTGAGCTGCCCCACTTGCCCCAAAGAGATGTGCCTCCACACAGGGCCCCACCAGGGCCTGGGTAGCACCCCTTGCCCAGCACCAGAGGCATCATTCACCTGGGGAGCTTGCAGCCAGCGCTGCTGCAACCAACAGCTGTGCAAGCCTTTGGGAGGGTTGCACAGCTCTATTCAGAGACTGGTGGATTGAATTTGGAGGCCGATGGAGGGAGGGAAGGAAAGAGGGACAGAGGCCAGTGTTGCCCATGGCACCCCTGGCCATCATTCAAGGCAGCCCAGGGTGCCATGGCACACGGGTTGAAAACCACAGACGTAGGACAAAACCTTTGTTCTCTCCACCACCACCCACTGCAGCCTCCTTCCTTGCATTCCGCTTCCCAGACCCTGTAAGCTTCTGTTCCCAGAACATAGAAATTAGATGGTGGCAGCCATTAAGGCTGCCTTGGTTCTTTGTGACCTAGTGCTAATGGGGGGAGTGGGGTTAAGGTTGTCTTCAGTAGTAGCGGCCAACCTGTGGTCCTCCAGTTGACTCTAGACTACAGTTCGTGCTATCCCTGGTTATTAGCTGTGCTGGCTGGGGGCTGATGAGTGTGTGTGCACACACACACACACATTTTTATTAATTTTTTTACATATCAGTTCCAACAGTCATACAACATAACTTCAACACCTCTGATGATTTTCCGTTCTTTATCACTTATTCTGCATTTCTTAATTTCTGCATTACATTTAATTGTCCTTAACTAATAATTCTCTTCATAGTCTTTCTTGCAATATTTCAAATAATCCACCTTACAAAACTTCTTGCAGTCCTGCTAGCGTAATCTGTTCATCACAATTACTTTTCAAATAGTACATATATTTACTCCAGTCTTCTAAGAATCTCTGATCTCGCAGGTTTCGAATCCTTCCTGTTAATTTATCTAATTCTGCATAGTCATAGAATCATAGAATCATAGAGTTGGAAGAGACCACAAGGGCCATCGAGTCCAACCCCCTGCCAAGCAGGAAACACCATCAGAGCACTCCTGACATATGGTTGTCAAGCCTCTGCTTAAAGACCTCCAAAGAAGGAGACTCCACCACACTCCTTGGCAGCAAATTCCACTGTCGAACAGCTCTCACTGTCAGGAAGTTCTTCCTAATGTTTAGGTGGAATCTTCTTTCTTGTAGTTTGGATCCATTGCTCCGTGTCCGCTTCTCTGGAGCAGCACGGAGCAATGAATCCAAACTACAAGACAGTAGTCCATCAACTTCATTCTTCTTTCATCGGTAGGGAGCGGATGAGAGTTGGAGTCCAGTAGCACTTGGAGAGCCACAGGCTCCCCATCTCTGGTCTTAAGTCTAGAAGAGGGGAAGCAGCTTTGCAAAATCTTTAACTGCAGAGCTTTGGGTGTGCACAGTTCCCACTTGCTGTGTCAAAGCACCAGTCCATCCAGCCCAGCAGCTCTCCATTATTTCAGGCAGGGAGCTGGGGAAGAGGCATGATCCATGGTAGAACATCTGCTTTGCATGTAGACGTTCCCTGGCACCTGCGGGTAAGGCTGGGAGAGAGCCCTGCCTGGAACCCTGGAGAGCTGCTGCCATTCAGTTCAGACAACGCTAAGCAAGATGGACGAGTGGTCTGGCTTGGTATACAGCAGTGTGTTGAGTCTCTTTTGGTCCTGCTAACTTGACATCCTTTCTGCCCAGCTCACCAGGGACTGAACTTGAGAAACAACTTGGTCTGTGGTCTCTCTTCTCAAGGAACTGGTGGCTCTTTAGGACTTGAGAGAGGAAGCAAGGAGGGCCCTCCTCCTTCGGAAGCAAAATGTTTACCTTTCCTAAGCAACTAGTTAATTGCAAACCCGAAACCCCAACCCCGTGAAACTGGAGGAGGTGGGGGAGAATCACCTTTACTATTCCAAATGTAACATGAGAAATAAGGGAACGAGACCAACGTGTCCCGGGATGAGATAGAGCCCTACTAGTTCCCTGAGGGTTTAAGATCTACTTGCCAAGTAAGAAGGGCAGGGGTGTGGGTGTGTGAGCTGGAAGTGCTGAATCACTAATGTGTTGCATGTGGGGTGGTGGGTGAGAGTTCCCAGGTCAGCTGATTCCCACTGCTAATCTGAGGGCAAAACGTTCAGTAGGGGAAGGGCTCTCTGAACAAAATGACTAAGGGTACATTTGCACAATCATTTACTTAGATGTATTTATTACTTGGGCTGGGTTTTCTTTTTTATTGGATAATGTTCGAAGTAGGTTACAAGCCTCTAAGAGATAACTATGAACTGAGTTACCGTATTTTTTGCACCATAACACTCACTTTTTTTCCTCCTAAAAAGTAAGGGGAAATGTCTGTGCGTGTTATGGAGGGAATGCCTACGGGTGGCATGCCTACGGATTTTCCTCCTCTAAAAACTACGTGCGTGTTATGGTCGAGTGCGTGTTATAGAGCGAAAAATGCGGTAATTAAAAAAAAAAAAAGTTCAGCAATGCATTTAAAAAGTAGTAAAAAATGGCAAATTAGCAAGAGTTTATCCAAAGACTCAATGGCACTGTTTTCCCCTACACCCTGTATTTCTCATTCTTGCATTCTAAGAAACCCCTGGGACGCGGGTGGCACTGTGGGTTAAACCACAGAGCCTAGGACTTGCCGATCAGAAGGTCAGCGGTTCGAATCCCCGCGACGGGGTGAGCTCCCGTTGCTCGGTCCCTGCTCTTGGCCAATCTAGCAGTTCGAAAGCACGTCAAAGTGCAAGTAGATAAATAGGTACCACTCCGGCAGGAAGGTAAACAGCATTTCTGTGCACTGCTCCGGTTCACTAGAAGTGGCCTAGTCATGCTGGCCACATGACCTGGAAGCTGTACGCTGGCTCCCTTGGCCAATAAAGCTAGATGAGCGCCGCAACCCCAGAGTTGGTCACGACTGGACCTAATGGTAGGGGGTCCCTTTACCTTTTAAGAAACCCTTGCTTGTGACCCTTGGTTAACCAAAGGTATCCTGAGTCCCTCCCCCCCCCTAAAAAAACTTGGGTCTCCAGTTGTTCCTGGACTCCCAGCACCCCTGACCACTGGTCCTGCAAGCTAGGGATAATGGGAATTGTGGTCCAACAACAAACTTGGGGACCCAAGTTTGAGAAGCACTGCCCAAGGAGAATATAAAGAAGCTTTCGCTTGGCACCTGCAATGCTGGTAATGTCACTATTAAATGGATCCTCCTGGGACTGGTGACAAAGAGCCAGCAACCCAAAGGCCCATCTCCAGTTAATACCCCTTTTCCTCTTCCACTGGCTGCAACACCTGCAACAGAGGCTCCTGCTGAACGCTTAAGCCAGCAGCAGTACACCTGTGGCCCTGTAGATGCTGCTGGTCTGCACCTCCCTTCATCTCTGACCACTGCATGCAATCTGGGGCTGCTGGGAGAGGCTTCTATGTAGATTTAAGATTATGCATTCTTGCCTTGGCACAGTACTTTTGACTTAAAAGCATGGCGTACACAGCACCCTGGGAAGCACCGACAAGAAAATGCAGCAGAAAATGCTTGGTGGCATTTATCAGGCAAAGGGAACCCTTCTCGGGCTGAGGGCCATGTTACCTGAATACCATGTTACCTGTATACCTGAAGGAGCGTCTCCACCCGCATCATTCAGCCCGGACACTGAGGTCCAGCGCCGAGGGCCTTCTGGTGGTTCCCTCATTGCGAGAAGTGAGGTTACAGGGAACCAGACAAGAGGGCCTTCTTGGTAGTGGCGCCCGCCCTGTGGAACGCCCTTCAGATGTGAAGGAAATAAGCAGCTATCTTATCTTTAAAAGACATCTGAAGTCAGCCCTTTAGGGAAGTTTTTAATATTTAATGCTGTACTGTTTTTAACACTTGATTGGGATCCGCCCAGAGTGGCTGGGTAAACTCAGCCAGATGGGCGGGGTATAAATAATAAATTATTATTATTATTATTATTATTATTATTATTATTATTATTATCATCATCATCATCACGGACAACCTTGCAGAGGCCACATGTCAGCAAAAGGGGAAAGAAGGTGTGGCCAGATGCAAAAGGAGGGAATGCATGAAAACTCCTTGGCATAGAAGGATGCATTCCAGTCACAGAAACACCAGAGCTTTTACACGTAGCCCTTTCCATTCTTCAAGGCCACATTCCAGGTAGACAAAAGCACTCAAGGAGTGTGTGGAGAAAGGCCAGTGAGGTTAGACAGTCCTGGAGGGCTACAATCACTTGTTCACACAAGCACAGAGCCTGAGGTTCCCTACCCCCGGCATGTATACTACAATCTGAGGCCTACAGTTGTTGCAGTTGTTGACAAGGCCAGGTCATTCCGCACATCCATAACAATACATTTTCTGGTGCATAAGCTTGCTTTTTCCTCCAAAGGGTTAGAAACCTTGCCTTCCCTGCAACGTGGCTGCTCATCACATTGCTTAAGAGCCACTAGGGAGTTGTTGTTGTTTTAAAAAATCAACCCCTATTTCAGAAACTGCATAGAAGTCTTACTTATACAGCAACTATGGGCAAAGGGCTGTTTCTGCAGTACTCTGGCCTATCTCAGAACCGGCTGCAAGTCTTAGCAGATGTTAAGGCTCAGATTAGATACCTAAATCTCTTTCCAGGCAAGGGCCCTTGTATGTCTTTTTAAGGCTGTAAGCTTAAGCAAGAATTCTTCTGAGATAGGACAGGGTGCATCTTACATGAAAGTCAGTCCACCAGGCAGGCTCAGTTACATGAACTCATGACAACACAGAATCATCCCTGCCCATATGGCTCTGCCATATAGTTAGCCAAGAGCATGGGGGCCACTACAGGAAGCAGACACCCCCAACACCCCCCCCCATCTTCCGCCAACAAGAAAGAGGCATTTCCAGAGTTTCCAGCTAGGCAAGTGAGGGTGTGTAGCAAAGCCATGAGGAGTGTAACCCGGGGAGAATTCCAAGGGCCAGACCAAACGTCATGGAGGAGCACATTTGGCCCTTGCACCTAAGGCTTTTAATCCTGTCATATTGGGCTAAATGGCATTAAACCAGCCTCTCTCAACCTTGAGTCCCTGGATGGTGTTGGACTACAACTCCCACCATCCCTAGCAACCAGGACCAGTGGCCCGGGATGATGGGAGTTGTAGTCCAACAACATCTGGGGACCCAAGGTTGAGAAAGGCTGTGGTAAACCAATATGTGATCTCTTATATGCCTCCTTTAGTGACTCCTACTATATTTAGCAAGAAAAATAATCAACCCCAAACCCAACACTGAACAGCTGACCCCTCAACACAGTTTGAAGATACTAAAGATAGGAGCGAGTCCTGTGGCAGAATACGACTGGCTGGGCCTTATGTTTTGGCGAATTTATACTGTGCTGCAATCGCTACAGCAGAGCTTGATAAAATCACAGTATGACTGAAAACTTTTCAACAAACCTCCTGCTCCTCAAAAGTCTACTTTGCCATCGCTGCATAGCTGGGAGTTCTTTTGATCTGCCATCATCACCTGGCAAATGGTATTGGGAAACTGTTGAGCAGTCCCTCCAGCACATGTGACTGGCATCTCCTAGGCTGTCTGAGTTTCCAAATTTAAGGAATGGGGCAGTTTCCACTCCCTCTTTGGCATTTTAAATATGGCTGACTGCAGGCCTTTCCCCAGAAGGAGGTGGGATGCCAAAGATACTGCAAACCACAGAGAAAGCTCATCCAAAAGTCATTAATAAAAAAACTCCACACACTTCAGAGAAATACCTTCTTCCCTTTGTGGGGAAAAAACACACACAATATGCACCTCAGTGCGAAAAGATTCTAAATCAACTTTGGGTTGATGGCTTTCCAGATGTTAAAAGGTAAAGGGACCCCTGACCATTAGGTCCAGTCGTGACCGACTCTGGGGTTGCGACGCTCATCTCACTATACTGGTGTACAGCTTCGGGTCATGTGGCCAGCATGACTAAGCCGCTCCTGGCGAACCAGAGCAGCGCATGGAAACGCCGTTTACCTTCCCGCTGGAGCAGTGCCTATTTATCTACTTGCACTTTGACGTGCTTTCGAACTGCTAGGTTGGCAGGAGCTGGGACTGAGCAACGGGAGCTCACCCCGTTGCGGGGATTCAAACCGCAGACCTTCTGATCAGCAAGCCCTAGGCTCTGTGGTTTAACCCACAGCGCCACCCATCCCGTCAGCTCCAGCTAGCACGGCCAATGGTCAATGTAGTCAAGCAACATCTGGAGGATACCATGTTGACCATCCCTGACCTGGAATGCTAGAGTAGACAGATATCTGGTCTTATACAGCAGGATTCCTCTGGTGTTCTTAAGCCTCAAACAACTGCAGTGGGGAGAACAAAACGATGCTAAAGGTTTTATTTTGTTCCAACTCATCTTGAGTTCCACAGAACCATCCTTCAGCAATTTCCTTTTACATTTTAGGAATGGGTTGCTTCAATCTTGCTTTATGCTGCTGACTGCTGGGAGAAAGCATTCAACAGAGCAAGAGAGGACACTGACTTGTATCTTGCTAAGGCAACACCAGCAATTGAACCAAGTCAGGGAGTTGAAATTTCAACACCCCAAAGTCACCAGTGAGCAAATTCTGTAAGTCAGTAAAGCCAAACAGATAGGCTTCAGTCAATCAACAGTGTCAGGTAGTAACTCAGATCTTCTGATAAGGAGACAGTTGATCCTCCTCCAGGGCTGTTGACGACTCCCATAGAAGTGGCTATACCAAAACTGGAAAACTTTGCTCAGATCACCAGCCTCTCAACTGGAATTATCCAGTAGCAAGAAGTTGTAAAGTGGCATTTAAGTGCACTCTAAGGTGGCATTTTTGCAGATGGAAAATGAAAGTAGCATGATTAAGTGGTTAAATATTAAAGGTGTCACGTCCACAGCCCTACGGTATCAGCTACTCTAGCCTAGATCTAAAACCAATCATGGTTTTAGATGGGTAAAGAAAATATCCAAGCTGTCTTCTATTTCAGAAGCACTTCCTACGTGCTCCACTTCATATAAACCTACGTGGTTATGCAAGTCTTTTGAAGCATGAAAGAACGGCAGAATGCTAAATCAATGAGCTGGAAAGGAACTGTGGAATATTCCCTTGTTCAGGGCAAGAATGAAGACTTTACTGACAGTTGAAATTAATTTTTCATATCAGAGGGTTTCTTCTTCCTCTTTTGCCAGTTGGATCAAAGACTTTTATTCTATTGGAAGTATTATGCTTTGTCAATGTTTACAACATTGTATACTGTCTGCACAGAATCCATGGGTGGGGGCCATCTGAAGTACAACACACATTCACAACGTTTTTTGGTGGGTGCCATTTTTAATGACCCCCATACATTTTTAAAAGCCAATGCTTCAAATTGCTGAAATCCTTTTCCAGCTGTAACTTTTCTTTAATGAAAGCCTTGTAACGCCATAATGCTATTATGCCAGTTTCGGTATTATGGTGCAATGGAGTTCAAACACCATAACACTGTAAAGTGGGAATAATTAAACCACAAACATTAGAGCATTATGGTGCTGAATATCTTTTTTTTTTTAATAGCTGGGGAAGTGTTTTTAGCAATAATGAAAGGATTAAAAGTCAAAATCATGGTCATGAAATGGCACCAGTCACAAATTTTATAATGAATGTGTGTTGACCTGTGACAGGTCCAAAATTCGCCCTTTTAAAAAGGCAGAAGAGAAGGCCCTTTTAAAAAGCAGCCTTCCTCAACTGGGAAGGATAAAGATGGGACGAGGAATTCCGATGGAAGACAAATATCAAAAAAACTAGATGATGCTGTTGGGTGGGTGCCCACCCAAACTGTGATCAAACCATGGCAGTTCCACCTTAAATAACTAGTATGGAAGCATCCCAAGTCGCCGGCTTCTGGCCCAATAGTCAATTAATATAGACAAACCTTGCTTCTAAAGCAACAAATTTCAAATATGCCTGCCTAATTTAAGAATAGGCATAAATACTGAAGAAGAAGAAGAATTTGGATTTGATATCTCGCTTTATCACTACCCTAAGGAGTCTCAACGCGGCTAACAATCTCCTTTCCCTTCCTCCCGAACAACAACACTCTGTGAGGTGAGTGAGGCTGAGAGACTTCAGAGAAGTGTGACTAGCCCAAGGTCACCCAGCAGCTGCATGTGGAGGAGCGGGGAAGCGAACCTGGTTCACCAGATTATGAGTCCACCTCCCTTAACCACTACACCAAGGGAACTGAAATCCAAATAGGTCCACATACCCCCGGTGGTCGTTAGAACCTCTAACGTGTGGGTGGGGAACGTTGCCCTCCATGTGTTGCTAGACTACAACTCCCATCACCCTCCAGCTGATGGGAGCTGGAGTCCCAACAACATCCAAAGCAAGGGCACAGTTCGCCATCCCTGCTCTAAAACCATACAGCCACCTCCCTGCCCGCCTCACATGCTTTATTGCATTTGGAAAACACTAGATGATCCTTCAGGGCAACCTGGACAAGATTCTCTCCCCTTCTGCTAGTATATACTCCGGAAAGGTTGAAAATAATGGAAGTCTCTTACCTTTAGCGAATCCACCAAGTCATCCACTAGGAAGAGGCGTCTGAGCTCCTTAACTGTGTTGTTGAAGTGGCCAAGTACCATATGGCTGTATTTTTGCACAAGCTCCTCAGACACAGCGACATCTTTATCCAAATAAGCCCTAAAAGAGAGAAAGCGCCGTTCAGAACATTCGACTTGGCAGCCTGAGATTCTTCGAGCTCTCCAAGCTCTCGGCCAGAGCACAATGGAGAAACGACGGGGAAGGTCATGGTGCTCATGAATTGTACAGATGGACAAAGACCCAAGCGTGAGGCGCTCCATAATTTATTCACAGCAGTGAAGCTGCCACGCTTAAAACCCCAGATTTTTCCAAGAACCGGCACAATTAGTTCATTAAACTGCGCTTAAATGGTAGAAGCAAATGTCTGGCCACTTAAAGCAGGTAAATGAAAGGTAAAAAAATAAAATAAGACTGTGCCTTTTTGCACATGGAAAGGCAGGCTTGGCAACTAAAATCAAATGTCTTTTTGGCTAGATATAACTGGAGATGATGTCCTACTCAGTCCAAAGAAGAGCCTTTGTTTTGAAACAAAAAAACAACAACACTCCCACAGCTTCACTGGATTAAGCAAACCCACTTCCCAGAATATCACAACCCTCAAAGTTCTACTTTCATCCCACTAACCTCTTGCCAATCAGCCCAACATATTTTAAATATTTTAAAAGGGGAAGTAAATGCTTCAGCTCAGCCCAGCCCTCCAAAAGTGCCTCTGGGGGTTAGGAGAACCCCCAGGAGAGAATGCAGCAGGAGGAGAGGGGGATTGTTGCATTTAGCAAGCTAAAATGTTCGCCCTGATAGAACCACCACTTTAGCACAATGTCAAATTCCTCCCATTTTATCCTATTTGCAGAAATGTGGCATCCTTGAAGCTTTCAAGATGCTCCTTAGACAGTCATGTAGCTTCTGCCGATTCTGCTCGCACAATGCTTTTCTTGTCGTGAAAGGTACCTGATTTTAAAGCTACCGCAAGTTTCACGACTGCCCAATTCAAAAGTGGTGGCATTGCTTTTGAGATGGTTCAATGTTGGCTATGTAGGTTCCAAAGCTACTCAAATGGCCAAAGATTATGAAATTATTGATATACCATACCGATGCAATATAGTGTAATGAAACATTACTGTACTGAAGTGCATTGTGAAATTATGATAAATGCCTAAGGATCCAAACCTACCTGGGTAAACGTAGTAGTAGGAAAGAAAACAGTAATCTTCTTTTCTTTTCTTTTTTTGCACTAATGTGCGTAATTTTTATTATGGAGATCTGCAAGACCGTTGGTATTTGGAGGAGGGCACATACGAGCATGCATTGTAAAGAAAGCTAGGTGTCTGGTAAGCCATCTTCCAATGGATTAGACTCCTAAGTTAGCATTGAGTAAATCTGTTGCTCTGTCAACCTTTAATTGCTTCCATTAAAATGGAGCTGGGAGCTTTACAAATAACTTAAGCATAAACCTTTGCTCTAAAGAGTTTTACAGCCCAGAGATAGGGTCCGGGAAGGGGAAGAAGCAAATCTGCATGTTGATCAGGAAGAGCCGCTGTATGGCAAGCAGCCCAAGGGACACAGTGTGCGCAAGGGTGGCAGGGTGGTGGTCATCTGTCATGGATGCTTTAGCTGGGATTCCTGCATTGCAGGGGGTTGGACTAGATGCCCCTTCCAACTCTTTAGCTCTATGATTCTATGACCATAGATGATGTAAGGAAGTGAGAGCTGGACCATAAAGAAGGCTGATCGCCGAAGAATTGATGCTTTTGAATTATGGTGCTGGAGGAGACTCTTGAGAGTCCCATGGACTGCAAGAAGATCAAACCTATCCATTGTTAAGGAAATCAGCCCTGAGTGCTCACTGGAAGGACAGATCCTGAAGCCGAGGCTCCAATATTTTGGCCACCTCATGAGAAGAGAAGACTCCCTGGAAAAGACCCTGATGTTGGGAAAGATGGAGGGCACAAGGAGAAGGGGACGACAGAGGACGAGATGGTTGGACAGTGTTCTCGAAGCTACGAACATGAGTCTGACCAAACTGGGGGAGGCAGTGGAAGACAGGAGTGCCTGGCGTGCTCTGGTCCATGGGGTCACGAAGAGTCAGACACGACTAAACGACTAAACAACCATGACCATAGCTATCTCCCTCTGCGCATAACAGGGGGAGATATTCAACTAATAGCTGATGTGTCAGCTTACACACCAACTAACATATAAGCCCAGTGCTGAAGCATAGAATACCAACATGGTGACAACTACTGTACATAGACAGGATCTTTCTCTATTTTCAGTGCCAGCTGAAGACGTTCCTCTTCCAACCAGCCTTCAAACGTCTTTATCCCAGTTGGCAACTGTTCTGGATCTGAATCAGTATTGTTGTTTTAAACTGTTTTTTAAAAAATATTTATAGCAGTTGTTATTGTTTTTATATGCAATTGTTTCTGCCTGCTTTAATATACTGTGTGCCATTTTATCCTTTAGAGATGCCTTGTGGGAAGTGATTCATGAATGAAGCAAATAATTGCACAGGCTTCCCATTTGCTTCCAGGCCAATTCAGGGTGCTGGCACTGCTCCTCTGTGAGCCTGCCTGCTCACAGGCAGGTTTAACAAACTGAAGAACATTGTCCTCTTTCTATGCTCCTCCCGATAGAAATATGCAGATGGGGACAGACATACCCCTGCTTTAAGTCATTTACATACTGTCTTCTCTTGTATACAATTTACTACAAAGCTCAATGACTAAGCTCTTTAGCAACGAAACATCGGATTACTGGAACGACGTCCTAGCACTGGTATATCACAAGTGGACTCTTTATTACTGCGTTTGCAATTGTTCAAGATAAAATATATTTTGGGAAGAGAAGAAATGAGCACTGAACCACTGATATATGACAAGTGAACTCTTTATTTACTGCAATTGTTTAAGATAAAACTATTTGGGAAAGAAACTACTTTTGCCATTTTTTATGGACGTTTAGTGTTTGTTTACAGATAGTTGCCTTGGTGATATTATCTTGTGTCCATTGCAGTAGTCGTTGTATCATCAACCTGTTCGTTGTTTCAATTGCTATTTAAGGTTGTCAGCTCAGGCCCTGCTCTCCATCCTTCCCAAAGGCTTCAAAGGTACCAAGGCATCCAAAGGCATATAGGTAACATTTAAACCCTGCAATTCAGTGCCAACACTAAAATCACGGCACTCCAGTGAAGCAAACTGGCAGCGTTCTGCATGCACCTAAGATTACTCAAACAACAACAGGAGCCGCTACCTGCAAGACTACTCCGTGCCAAAGCCCAGGAAGACTGAAAAGGAACAAGGGCTTATCCACACTTACCTTTCCTCTGCTCTTTCCAGGCATGACCCGCAATTTAAAGCTCTCTGAGTGTCGCTTTTATTTGCTCCAGAGCTTTCCCTGCAAAAACCTGCTCTTTAAAGCTCAGTTGGAGCAAATGTCAATCCAAGGGAAACCCAAATTGGCGTTTGCTCCAAGACTATGGTTAGCCCAGTGAAGACACCAAAGCAAAGCAGAAGGAAGATCACAGATATGTGCACAACTGATGCATAGGGGAGCCTACTGAGACTATCCCTGAATAGAAAAGGAGTGGGAGAAAGTTTATATTATCATTATTGTTCTAAGCTGGAAATCTCCACTCAAGAGTCAGTTTAGCTAGGCCCTAGTGACTGGTTTAGGGAAGCCACTACTACCCAACCTCCCTATCTTTAAAATGGGATTAAATGGCCCTGCTCTACATTGTTATAATTATCCTTTGCAAAATGCAAGCTTGGCCAACCATGGTGTGTGAAAGAGAGGTGTTTGCAATTGCAGGAGGACAGCTGGAGGTACTTTTTTGGGGGTAGCAAGAGACCCTAGTAGGGACGCGGGTGGCGCTGTGGGTAAAACCTCAGCGCCTAGGACTTGCCGATCGCATGGTCGTCGGTTCAAATCCCCGCGGCAGGGTGAGCTCCCAACGTTCAGTACCAGCTCCTGCCCACCTAGCAGTTCGAAAGCACAATTAAGTGCAAGTAGATAAATAGGTACCGCTTTCTAGCGGGAAGGTAAATGGCGTTCCGTGTGCTGCTCTGGTGCCGGTTTGCCGGAGCAGCTTCGTCATGCTGGCCACGTGACCCGGAAGTGTCTGCGGACAGCGCTGGCTCCCGACCTCTAGAGTGAGATGAGCGCACAACCCTAGAGTCTGTCAAGACTGGTCCGTACGGGCAGGGGTACCTTTACCTTTACCTTTTTAAGAGACCCTAGTGCCTCTACATGCGAACCTTGATTGCACAGCCAATGAAGCTTACAGACTCATTGTTAAAACCGTGTTTATGGAAGACAATCTTACTCGGCTACGAGTGATCGCCAAAGAAGAAGAAGATGATCATCATCATAAGACCATAGGAAGGAGCCTTATGCGGAGTAAGATCATTAGTCCATCTTGCTCAGTACAGTGGTACCTCGGGTTACATACGCTTCAGGTTACATACGCTTCAGGTTACAGACTCCGCTAACCCAGAAATAGTGCTTCAGGTCAAGAACTTTGCTTCAGGATGAGAACAGAAATTGTGCTCTGGCAGTGCGGCAGCAGCAGGAGGCCCCATTAGCTAAAGTGGTGCTTCAGGTTAAGAACAGTTTCAGGTTAAGTACGGACCTCCGGAACGAATTAAGTATTTAACCCGAGGTACCACTGTACTGTCTACACTGACTAGCAGAGCCTCTCCAGGATTTCAGACAGGATTCTCTCACAGCCCCCAGAATTGTACCCATGACCTTCTGCATGCAAAGCAGATGTTCTAGCATTGAGCTACAAGGGTACATGGCAACTAGTGTTGGGCATCAGGACAGCTAGAAGGACTTTTCAGTAGAGATTATCAGTGGGTCGCTTAATTTTGTCAACGTGAAATGTTTAGGTTAGTTAATTGTTTATATGGCTATTTGAACATTGTTTTATGCCTTGCGCCCATTAGTGAATTTTGTAGGTTATTGATGAGAGCTGCCTCAAGCAAGGATTCCTACGGATATGTGGTATTACAAATGAACTAGTGGTGGTAAGGGCAAAAGAAAGTCTTGCTTGGAGGGGAGTGTACAACCTCACATCCTCTCCCCTTGACAACTGATTGTGGGTAGGGTGACACACTCACCTAAATGGGTGGCCTTCCTCAGACTTCTGGACTGCCTGGATAACTCCCTTGTATATCCTAAAACTGATGGTCACAGACAGGAGGACCAAGGCAATGTACGCGACCACACTCACAATACTGAACACCGTTAATGACAGCAGCAGGAACAAGCTGGCTCCAAACACCACGCCCGTCTTCTTAACGTCTCGCCAGTAAAGGAGGTCAACAACTAGAGAGATTTAAAGAGAAAGGAGATTAGAAGACATTGTCAAAGCAATATAGCCCCGACTTTTTTCCCCACACACAAACACACAGTGTATATATGAATGCACTTCTAACACACATGCACAGATAAAAACACACTCATGCATCGAACGTTGGCGATTTTCCCACGGAAATTTAGTACGTGTGTGGTGTCGAACACCACGATGGCTCAGAAAAGTTAATAGATCCTGTTTAAGTGGAAGTCAGAATAACAGTACAGGGCTTGCTTTTCCTCATATGCCGCTGCGATAACAAACAAGCCAAAGAGGCACCTTAACCCTGATGGGGTTGGTGCTGCCCCCACCAGGCGTGGAGTATAATTTCTCTCTCACCTGCTCCTTCAGGAAGAGACCACTTGGCCCCAGGTGAGCAGAAGGAGAACGTACTCGCCATCACAGCAATATAAGTTGTCTCTTGTTATGGGTTTGGTGAAGGCAGCAAGCACAGTGCAGTGATGCTCATTTGGGTTTGAGGTTCCCAGGAATCGGAATAAGCAGGTTGGCACTAGCAGTGTACAGATGGGGTTTTCAAAACTGCTTTTCTCAAGAACAAGGCTGCTTTCCTCTCCTACCAGCACAACAGGCTTCCATCATCAAGGCCAAAATACAATGGGTACAATTTCCAGCAGGTCTTATCTCACAGGAGCAGACAGAAATATATTAGCGACAACACCCTTATGGAAAAATACGGTGTAAGGAAGAGGGTGCTCTGTTTGCAAATGGGAAAAGCCAGGTCTAAACCCACTCACCAAGTCATGAAGCCCTCCATGAGTTAGGGCAAACAGAACCTTGGACAGGGGAAACTGCAGTTCAAATGTCACATTCAGTCATGGCACTCACTCTGTAGTCTTCCCTACCTAAGAGGTCACAGCCGGGCTGTTCTATGGGCTAATACAGAGTTCTAGGCTCTTGGGAAGAGGTGTGGAACACAAATGTAACAAAGAAATCCGCAAACCATATTTGGTATATTGAATACAACATTCCTACCACTTTATTCTCTTCCACTGCAACAGCACACAGCAGAGTTCAGCAACCCCCGAGTATAGAATATAGTATGGAATGCCACACTGGATATTAAATTCAGGAATCATGTACCCCAGGGACAGGCCCTTGGGCACATTTGTATTTTTGAACCACAGGCACCACTCCCTATGGCCACCCCCAAAACAGAGAAACGGAAGTCATGCTTAGGCTCATTACACTTTTCCAGACAATCTTGAGTAAAAGTCAGACCCAGTAGAATTAAATTGAGCCTTGCAAAGTGCATAGGACTGAAAGAGGAAGTGGGAAAGAGTGTCACTGCTGGCTCTCTGTGTGTCACAGCAGTATCATCAATTATGCTTCTGTTTTGTTTTTCTTGACAACTTGTAAAAGTATCAGTGATATCCCAACCACATTGGACTACAGTTAAAGGAAAGCCTCAAATATTGGAATCATTCCATTATTTAAATTAAGCAGTGTTTAAAGGAACAGGTCCAATTTTCTCTAGAGGATTTTGTCACACTGAGTATTTTATTTCTGTTTATTAAAAATGTTTCTGTGCCACCACGTTTAGAACTCCTCCCCAATGCTAATAATGACTGAAAACAATTGTATAACGAAAGCCAAACCAATGAACTCAACATAGTTTTTAAAAAAATAATAAACCACAACAGCAAACACACCATAGGACCAGCTTGCATGCAAACCAAAAGCCTTCTCAAAGACACCTTTGCCTTGACAGGTGACCCAGTCGTAGGTGACTTTTTATTTTTGCAAAGTGAGGAATGCATACACTCATAACTGTATGGAAGCCATATAAACAGGAGTCTCAAGAACCAGAACACAGGCATCTGGCTGCCTTAGAGGGCTGATTCCAAACACACCTGGTCGACAAATTAACTCGGGGAAAATACGGAGGGAGCCAATAGCTGTGTTTGGACACAACACTACGCCGAGTTCTATATGACAAGAGCTGCAGCCTGTGGTTGCCCTTCAATAAGCCAGCTTCAGAAACCATAGTTTGAAGTTAGCTTGTTTGAAACTGACCATAATTAGTGACGAACCACAATCCTGGGTTCTAATGCAACAAACAGAGATTAAAGGAAACTGAAAGTAGTCCATGCCAAAATCCTCCTCTGGGTTGTGCGGGAGATAGGGAGGAGAAGAGCAAGAAACCTGAGATTGGCTGCAGCTTACTTCTGTAACATGAAACCATGGTTTAGTATTATGTCTGAAAGCAGTCACTGAGTGCCTTGAACCAGTAAGTGTGTGTATATATATATATGTGGTTTGTTTTTTCTGCCATTATCTCCTATAGCTTAAGTCACAAATCCCAAAATACAAGCCTGTGTGTGTGTATGTGTGTGTGTGTGCTGTGCATAAACATTTAAACCTGGGATTTTTTATTTTTTTTTTAGTTTTTTTATTTGAACAATTACAACACTACAGTCATTTTCTAAGTCACAACTGGTACAGTTCTTGAGTAATACGTACAAGATAAACTGCCTTTTGCTTCCTTTTAAAATGAAAGCCAAACGTATCCACACACAGAAGGGTATTCTGAACAGCCTCCTGCCCAGAGGCAAACACATTTCAAATGTGAAGGATCTACAATTTCTGCCCTTCAAAGAACAAAACAAAACAGCCCAGGCCTATTCCAAAGCAAATGTCTGACTACATTTGGTAAGCACAAGGACTGTCACTTGGTGAATCTAAAAATAGCAGTGCTAGCACAGTGCCTCGCATACACAGCTCATCCAGTTACAATCTTTCCTGTGCTTTTAATGCAACTGTCTGGAGAGGTCAGAACTCTGCAGTCTCCCTATTAAAACCTTAAAAAATAAAAAAGCACGGCACAACTCTGGAATGCCAACTGCAGCTGCTGCACAAATAAGGATTCTGTGTCTATCCTGAACATTCTCCCCTCCGCTAGAGAATTAAATAAAACGCACACCGAACCACACTGTCTCTTGAAGTGCAAACCAAACAATAAATGCAAGAACTCGCAGCAACGCAAGCCTCGACACCACAACGCATACTCACCACTTCTGGCATCCATCTTGCCAGGGTTGCATGCACTCAGATTTTGCACAGCTGACTAGCAAACCTTTCCACTTCCTGCTAGGGCACTCAAAGGTCATCTGATATATGCAACTGCCTGCAGCCTCGCTGATACACAGTTAGGAACACCCCAGACTACCACAGTATTTTAAGCCCTCGTCCAATGGCCGTTTCCCCTGTAATTCCTTGGAATGCAGAACATATGTTTGCAGCTATATGCTACGTTCTACATTTAGATTTCAGACAGAGGCAGCTACGGTAGTCAAACGGCATTCCTTTAAAAACAGGGCAGGGGGGAACCACATAAAAGGTATATATATTTGAGGAGAAAGAGGTTGTAACACCGTCCATATGCTCTTCTTCTTGTTTGGTTCTCTGAATGGTATTTAAGAGAACCAAATAATTTGCTACAGGGTTGCAATTGCAGCATTGCTTTTGGACGAGTTCCACATCTGACAAGAGTGCATCAGGATGGGAACTGGGAACCCACTTGGGGAAAAGTGGACGTTTTACAGCTTTTAAACAAGGATTTTTTTGGTAACTCTTAAGACAGTAAAAAGGGGTGTCCTTTTTCTTCATATATAGGCAAATTTCTATGAAAGGTATGCTAACCAACCAACATTTTTCTCCTTTCCTTCTTGAGAATCTGGAGAATACTACAGGTCACTAATTCATTTCTAATAACCTGAAGATAATGATGTTTTAAGAAGAGGCTAATAACCTTTTTTGTTCTTTTGTTGTACACCGCTTTGGATCCATTTGCTGGGAAAGCGTGTATAAATGTTTAAATTAAGTAAACAAAAAGGAATTTTTTTCGGTTGTGCAGCAAATTGCCAGAATTTCAAGGTGAAGAACATGAGAAGCAATCTATCCACCTAGGAGGAATATATCCTTCCATGTGCAAGCACAGACTCTATTACCAAGCGTAGGCTCACCGCAAGGGGCTTGGCGCAGAGGCAGGGCTATACTAGGGACTTCCCTCCAAATGAAAATAGCATTGGGGGGGGCGGTGTTGTCAGGACAATAAATAGTAACGGAGTGGCAGAGTTCAACAATGCAACTAAGGGCTTCTTGATGCAGCTATTTACATTTTCTTTTTTTAAAAAAAAAATAACTCCACACTAATGGCATTCGTCCAATTAATGCCATGCCTAATTTGGCCCTACAGCTTTTTTGCATGCAGGCTCTTGAAATTCACATTCTCCTCTTTGGCCAGGGAGTGGAGCTCTGCGTGCACATAGCACGGATGCACGGGCGCATCTCGGGGCAGAAAAGAAGAGGAAGCTGCTCTCTTTGGATCTTGTCCGACAGGTGCCCCCCGCCTATCACCCAAGCCTAAAACATTAGCCAAACAAAACACAGCTGGGGAAATCGGGCGCAGCGCCAGCTTCTCTTAAAAATATACTTTTGGCTTGGGAATGTGGGCCAGAGAGAGAGGGGTGCTTGTGCAACACCTGTTTGGATCCAAAGTTATCTCTGGGGTGTCACAAGAGTATCCACGCAACACAGAAATGTCCCTCTTCCTCGCAACCCCTTCATGCAGGGGCTTCAGTTTCAAGAGGCTATTTACCAAAGGTTCACTTGCACCAGATTAAGTGCAGCTCTTTTTAGGAAACTTTGGGGGGGGTGAAGTGAAGGGGGGAGTATGGTGGGAAGTGAGAGAAAGAGGGAAGAAGAGGACTACAGTGGTACCTCGGGTTACATACGCTTCAGGTTACATACGCTTCAGGTTACACACTCCGCTAACCCAGAAATAGTGCTTCAGGTTAAGAACTTTGCTTCAGGATAAGAACAGAAATCGGGCTCCAGTGGCACGACAGCAGCAGGAGGCCCCATTAACTAAAGTGGTGCTTCAGGTTAAGAACAGTTTCAGGTTAAGTACGGACCTCCGGAACGAATTAAGTACTTAACCCGAGGTACCACGGCACTAAAGAGCAGGGAAAGAGGACTACTACAGACATCAAGGTTATGATAGCTTTAAAGAAGCGGGGGTCAATTATATCAGGTATGGGGAATGGTTTCCAAACTCTCCTCTGCATGGACCACCTGACAGACCACTGAGGGTCTTGGCGGACCACCTATCGAATTTTCTGCCTCTTGCAGCAATTGCAATGCGTTGTGCTAATTGCTGTAGGGGTTCCCATTGTATCTGTGTTGCTTTCTTTTATTTCTTACACATTCTGTGTTTTATTGCAGCTGCAATAAATGCAAAACATGCAATACAGTAAAAAGGGGCAAGAAAATACAATTTAAAATTAATATAAATATGTAACGCAGCGGGTGTGCCTTCTCTCTCATCTTCAGGCACAAATCTACAGGCGTGTTGTGGGCCACCTGAATGAAGCTGGGCACCACTGGTGGTCCACAGACCACAGTTTGGAGACCCCTGAGTTAGGACAATAGAACTATTATTTGTTATTTATCAAACAATTACTTGTTCCAGGTGTTAATCCAGTCTCTTAATCTCAGGGCCATGGGTTTGAGCCAAACGCTGGGTAAAAGAAGTGCTTTTTTTTCTGTAAAAAAATGTTTAGGGGTACTCTTCTTTTCTTACTCATATTGAAACACTTCCTCTCAATGAGGCCTGTGTCCCCCCAGGAAAAAAACACTGGGTAAAAGATTCCTGCATTGTAGGTGGGTGGAGTAGATGGTCTTCGTGGTCACTTCCAACTCTACAATTCTACAATTCTATGTTGGCAGTTTCCACCCCATATACCAGCTCTGAATTATGCAGCCAAGTAATCAAAAGGACAGTCTTAATGCTCATGATAAAAAACTTTGAAAGAGGGTCCTTCTCCTTTAGGGGGTGGGGAAAGATGGGGATATCCTAAGCTGCTGATTTTAGACTTGTACACCACTGGTAAGGGAATTTCATTAATTCCCAACAAGGCTTTCTTGTGAGAGAGTGTGTGGGGAAACATTGCAACCTGTGTGTGTCTGTACTGGGAAGCGCCTAAACTAATCCATTTTAATCCTCCTCCTTTCTCTAGTGTAGCTGATGAAGCTACCTCTTTGCAGCAAGGTATTCACCCACGTAGTAACCAAGGACACTGCTACCTCTGTTAGTCAACAAACCATCCAACTTAGTGTTTGCCAACCTGATGCCCTTCCCTGTGTTTTGGACTACAAGTCCCATCAGCTGTGCTGGCTGGGGCTGATGGGAGTTGTGATTCCACCCCCCCAAAAAAAAAAATCTGGAAAGCACCAGGTTGCCAAAGGCTGGTCTATGGCCTCAGTTGGTCTTCAAACATGGCGGCCATGGCAATGGAAGTCAAAGGGGGGGGGGAACATTTGTAAAGTGCTGAAAGGGGTAAGGAGGTTGGCTTTAAGCTCTCTACAGATGGCAGCTTGCTTGATTTCAGAACTAAATCAGAAATGGAGGAGGAAGCATCGCGGAGAAAAAGGGAAATGGCAGCCCCTTAGCTGAGCTACGCCACCCTGCTGACCTTACTAAGCCTGCTTCTGCCATTTGGACTGGTGAGGATCAGCACAATCCCCACGAAGTTTGTGTGTGTCATATGCGCTGGATCTGAGCATGGGAAATCACCCCTCTGGATAAGTCTTAAACGGAAAACAAAAGCTTCCTACCTCATTAGAACGACGCAATTTTAATCCGCCACCCAATGTAACCCTTACTTTCCAAGACTGGGATCGCATACGTCACCAAGAGGGAAGTAACAGCATGCACATATACAATTTGTTGGTCACTGCAAGCTTGGCACATGTGAGGGAGAGCGTGCCAAAGCCTAACAGAGGGAGCAACAGTGGGCTGTAGGGACCAATAGCTTGACTGCATAAAACAGCTTAATATGCATCCATCCACACTTGGCGATGCCAAACACTTCAAGAGGTGGAGGGGAGAGCATGACTGAAGCAAATTCTGAAAGCAACGTACATACATAAGCTTTTGAAACACACAACTGTGGACCTTGGACTCTGTATCAGACTGGCTGGGTTGCCCCATCATCGCACACCCAACCCCTTTAAGAAAAGTATTGTTTTGGATAGCTGGATTAAAAGCTGGGGGGAGGGAGGGGAAGAGAGCCTGTTTTGTTCTACTGGCACAACCCAAAGCTTAAATGTGCAGCACAGACTTAAAATTCTTACAGTTTCACAACACAGAGATTACAAAGAACGGCGGCTACAGGGGCGAAGGTCAACCGTTTTAACTATAGGTACTTATTTTATCCCAGCGTGCTTCGGATTGGCAATGCCGGTTTCGCAATTAAAAGGCAGGCAAACAGTTTTGTAAGTCATGGAAACCCACAACCCCCCAATATCAAACATTAAGACAACCAACTAAAAATAGCGTCACAAAGCAAGGAACGAGAGAGGCTGCGAAAACAAGGGAGACTTGAAACTGTATTGCTGGACTCTGCTTTGTAAAAGGACAGCACTGTATCCAGAGATGAAAGCCCATTAATTTAGCAAATTACATTACGTTAACCACTAGCAGCATTTGTTGGGTCGATTTTTTTATTATAAGAAAAGCTCCTCTCTCTCTCTCTCTCTCTCTGAGCCAGCACATCAGCTAAATGGAAGCTGGCCCTGACATTTGTACAACCAGGACATACCAAAGGCAAGCTGTCCTGTGCCGTCAGATGGCAGGGCTTAATCCACTAAAACATTCAGAGCGTCAGGCAAATGACCCTTCCCCCGCCCCACGCTCCCCCATATTTAGATATTCCTCATCGCTGATCTTCTGAAGGACTCCCCACCCTTGCCATTAGCCCTCATGCCCATTCCTAGAAAAACTGCTCCTCTAGAGAAAAACGCACACTATAAGCCTCTTTTGTACAGGGGGCAGCCCACAGCATCGTTAAAAGCTTAAAAAGAATTGACAGTAAAACTGCAAATACCCTTATCCTTCCAATTGCTCGGCTGGCTGTCCATCTCTCTTCACAATGGATCTGCCCCTCCAGCTGGGATTATCAATTATGCATACCAATGGAAAGGGTGCAGTTGGAGAAATAAAGCAGCCGACAGATGACACATCGGGCTTCCTCCAGCAGAGGTCTGCAGTCTCTTGCCTGCTGCACGGCTGCTGCAGGACTTAAGTCACCTGACTGTCTTCTGGGTGTGGAGAAGACTGACGCAGTGCAATCTGTAACTAGGCTACTGATATTCCCCGCGCTAATTCCTCGCTTCAATCTGCTTACCGTGGCAACCGTTTGCTTGCTGCCCGTAGCAAAAACGGGATGGGGAGGGCAGGGGGAAAGAGACTTGAGGATGCAAGACAGAAAACACACAACAGAAAACACACACACACACACACAGCTTTTTAATACTGTGTATATCCAGATAACTTGTGGGTTGCTAGATCGTTAGGGAGCATTGTGGGGTAAAAAAAAATCGCAGCAGGGCAAGGAGGTCTTACAGGCAGCAAGAAAGGACCTAAGGTAAAAATAATACATGGTCTAAATGAAAATTTAAGCCCAGAAAATGCATGCAGGCAAATAATACAGTGGTACCTCGGGTTAAGTACTTCATTCCGGAGGTCCGTTCTTAACCTGAAACTGTTCTTAACCTGAAGCACCACTTTAGCTAATGGGGCCTCCTGCTGCTGCTGCGCCGCCGGAGCACGGTTTCTGTTCTCATCCTGAAGCAAAGTTCTTAACCCAAGGTACCATTTCTGGGTTAGCAGAGTCTGTAACCTGAAGCGTATGTAACCTGAAGCGTATGTAACCCAAGGTACCACTGTACAGTCATACCTCGGGTTAAAGACGCTTCAGGTTGAGCGTTCTCAGGTTGCGTCCCACGGCGACCCGGAAGTAACGAAACGGGTTACTTCTGGGTTTCGCCACTCGTGCATGCGCTCAAAATGACGTCAAGCGGCAAATCACAACCCACGCACACAGAGATGCGGGTTGCGTTCTGCTCAGGTTGCGAACGGGGGCTCCGGAACAGATCCCGTTCGCAACCAGGGGTACCACTGTACATCTATGTACAGCATTTCAAGTATTCAAAATACTTAACCATAGTCACCACCTCCCTGTAAGGTGGGCCCTGCAGCAATTAGCCTAAGCCAAGTGTGGTGAGCCTTTGACCCTGCAGATGTTCCTGAACTACAGCTTCCCTTCAGCCTTAGCAAGCATGGTTGAAGGCTAGAGATGATGGGAGTTGCAATTCAGTCATATCTGGCGGGCCAAGGGTTCCCCACACTTGGTCGAAGCCCATCGAGTGAGTTCAGGACAGAGGTGAAATATACACTGGGGGACTTGCTCCACTGTAAACTATTCTTACGCTGCATCAGCTTTCAGCCTTTGCAGGTATTTTACAGACACTTGATTGCTAACTGGCGTATGGCATGGATCAATTGCCAGGTTCTATTTTTATTTTTTTAAGTACTTTTGACTATGTTGATGCTAAAATTGCAGGGAGCCGAATTTTTGGCTGCTGTGTACCTAAGCCAGCCACCTTTTTTTAAGGTAGAACCGTGCATCTGGTCAGCCTGCTGCTCCTTCTTAAAAGTACAGACCACAATTTGGCTTGCCACCACTCCACGCAGTTTGGAAGGATTTGCAGAGCACGCCAGCCAATCCTCAATTTGTGCTTGCAATACGCAGGGCTTTTTGTTTGCTTTGTTTTAAAATCCAGCCCCACCAGCATTTATCTGAACTGACACCATGAATTTCCTGGTTCAATATCTAGAGTTGGGATATACCGGAAGCCATGCCAGCAAAGCCACGCCAGTGCTGCAGCAGTGCACGGCACTGCGCCAGCAGTGTGGGCAGGTTCCCAAGTACAGTGCAGTGATTTGGAACTGGAGGGCAAGCGTCTAGTCCTCGCGGCTGCTGCAGAGAAAAGCCTGGAAGTGTGACTAATGGCAAAGCTCAGCACTTACTTGTGCCAAGAAAAAGTAGAGGTTTTGCACAGGTTACAGACCTAGGCAGATTCACATTTTACTCAGCTAGAGAAAAGGGAAGGAGCTAACAAGAATACAGTCATACCTCGTGTTACAGCCGCTTCAGGTTGCGTCTTTTTGGGTTGCAGACCACCGAAACCCGGAAGTACCGGAACGGGTTACTTCTGGGTTCCGGTGGTTGTGCATGCGCAGAAGCGCTAAATCGTGCTTTGCGCATGTGCAGAAGCACCGAATCGCAACCGGTGCATGCGCGGACACGGGTTGTGAACGCTGCGGGTTGCAAACATGCATCCCGCACGGATCACGTTCGCAACCTGAGCATCTACTGTATTGAAGTTGCATGCCATAGCTAGTTGGGTCCTGCACCCACAACCATGTATCAGGGATTGAATACTATACATTTTCAACCCTATCCTCAAACTAGAATTTACAAGGGTTGTAGATGCTACGAGCAGCACAAAAATAGAAATTTGCCTTAACACTTGTGCAGAACCATGCAATATTCAGCAGTAATTTTTTTTATGTTGCCTTAATTTGGTTGGGGGGTTGGTTTGGGGGTTTTCCCCCATTTTTTGCAATATTCATGGCTTACCAGGTTTCCAGAATTCTTCATAGAATTGCAGAGTTGGAAGGTCCCACTAGGGTCATCTAGCCCAACCCTCTGGAAGGCAGGATAATCTTTCGCCCAAGGGTGGGGGGCTTGAGCAAGGAAGAGGAGAAGACAGGCAATGAACCAAGGCGTAAGGAGAGGTTGAACTAGATGACCCTCAGGGTCCCTTCCAACTTTAAGATTCTATGAATGCAGAGATGAAAAAGCATGTGCACACAAATGATCCCTACACTGGTGTAAAAGCCTTGTCCCCAGATGCATCTTTGGTGGGTTCTACTTGCCAACATGTGAAAACCTAGAGTCCATGTTAACTGCATAACTTAACAAAGTTTGAAAAACTCTACCTTTATGACTGATTTTCTAATCATCCACTCAGTTCTTTGGATGCTTGCAAAATTCAGAATGGAGAGGACAGAAACTATGGTTCTTTGGGACTAGTGGGGCCAGTATATTCCCAGATGTGGCTATACTACCATGTTGTTGTTGTTTAGTCGTTTCCGACTCTTCGTGACCCCATGGACCAGAGCACGCCAGGCACTCCTGTCTTCCACTGCCTCCCGCAGTTTGATCAAACTCATGCTGGTAGCTTCGAGAACACTGTCCAACCATCTCGTCCTCTGTCGTCCCCTTCTCCTTGTGCCCTCAATCTTTCCCAACATCAGGGTCTTTTCCAGGGAGTCTTGGGGGATTGGCCAATTAAAAGCAGGTCCGTATAGTTAAAGCTATGGTTTTTCCAGTAGTGATGTATGGAAGTGAGAGCTGGACCATAAAGAAGGCTGATCGCCGAAGAACTGATGCTTTTGAATTACGTTGCTGGAGGAGACTCTTGAGAGTCCCATGGACTGCAAGAAGATCAAACCTCTCTATTCTGAAGGAAATTAGCCCTGAGTGCTCACTGGAAGGACAGACCGTGAAGCTGAGGCTCCAGTACTTTGTCCACCTCATGAGAAGAGAAGACTCCCTGGAAAAGACCCTGATGTCGGGAAAGATGGAGGGCACAAGGAGAAGGGGAAGACAGAGGATGAGATGGTTGGACAGTGTTCTCGAAGCTACCAGCATGAGTTTGACCAAACTGCGGGAGGCAGTGGAAGACAGGAGGGCCTGGCGTGCTCTGGTCCATGGGGTCATGAAGAGTCGGACACAACTAAACAACAACAAACATCTCTGTGGGTTATTCTTTCCCTGATGGGGTTTCTTAGCTGTTAAAAATTGCCTCAGGACCAGGGCTGGCCCAAGACATTTTGGCACCTGAGGCCAACCACAAAATGGCATCCCCCAAAGGAAGAAGTGGGGAGTGAAGATCTACATCAGGAACAAGAGCTGCTGATTCTGCTGCCCGAGGCAGTTGTCTCACCTTGCCTCATGGGTGGGCCGGCACTGCTCAGGACCAAGTGGTTGTAGAGCTATCCAGGACAGAATGAACACCACTCATCTAAGATACAGCTGCCACCATCGTATGCCATGTGCAAAAGTGTCAAAGATGTCTTAAAATGGGGGTAGCCAATTTGGTGCACTCCTGATATTGCTGGACAACAACTTCCATCATGCTTGACCATTAGCCATCTGGAAGGCATCACACTGGCTTCCCCTGCCTTAAAACATATCCTCTTATTTGCTAGTTGTCCAAATATCACAATGGGAATTGACTAAGATGCTTAACTCTAGTATTTAAAATAAAATAAAAAACTCCAGAAGAGGACTTGGGAGCCATCAAACAGCATATAAATCCTGTGATAAATGAGTAAAATAAAAAGCCATTTAGGGGAAGGCTTCAGAAATAACAACACTTCATAGCTGTCAAACTTTTCCAAGTGTAAAATACAATTGCGGAGAGAACTTTTTCGCTTTGCAAACACTAGGTGGCTGCAGTGCTCTGCTTTCAGTCTTGGGAATATTCTCAAGATACAAACTGCATTAAGACAGCTCTTGTGGATACATTTGTCTTTTCAAATACAGTAAAAGCAAGCTCTTGGCAGGGGAACAGCATTACTGGTGCAGAATCAGCAAAGCCGCTTTTTTATGAACGACATTACAGAAGTGAGGCAGGCTTGTAAATCGGTACTTTTTGGGGGTGATTAAGAATTACCTATTGACTACCAAGCAGAGAAGCTCCAACGAAAGTTTTTTTAAATTTTATGCAAAAAGATCAGCCATGACCATGAGTATTTCAGATTTCCGGCGAAAGGTATCAAAGAAGGAGCAGGCCTCTTTTACACATGAGCTTCAATTAGGGTGCAACATAATAAAAACTTCTCTTCTCATGAGGCGGCCAAAGTATTGGAGCCTCAGCTTCAGGATCTTTCTTTCCAGTGAGCACTCAGGGCTGATTTCCTTAAGAATGGAGAGGTTTGATCTTCTTGCATTCCATGGGACTCTCAAGAGTCTCCTCCAGCACCAATACTTTGGCCACCTCATGAGAAGAGAAGACTCACTGGAAAAGACCCAGATGTTGGCAAAGAATGGGGGCACAAGGAGAAGGGGACGACAGAGGACGAGATGGTTGGACAGTGTTCTCGAAGCTACCAGCATGAGTTTGACCAAACTGCGGGAGGCAGTGGAAGACAGGAGTGCCTGGCGTGCTCTGGTCCATGGGGTCACAAAGAGTCAGACACGACTAAACAACAACAAATAATAAAAACTATTTCCAAATGAAGCAATCAAAACTCATTATCGGGCAATATAACCCTACAACAGGTGCTTGTACGTTAACCCTTGCAGCAGAAATGCCTGCTAAAAAAATACAGCCTCAGTACACGGAAAGTCCATAATTCACCTACCTTGCTAAAGATGAGCTGCTCTGGGTTAGTACCTAGATGGGAACTTGGAAATCTATGTGGGATACTTTTGAGTTCCATGGGTGAAAGGCAGGGTATAAATCCAAACAAATAAAATAGCAAAGTGCTTTCGCTGGCCTTTAATAAATGAACAAGGAAGGTCAACATGCAGATTTCTGGTGCAGGAAAACAATCTGGGGACCACCAACAATAAGGCCCTACTTGCCACAGGCATTGACTTGCAATTGCTTAGTTACAGGAAAAGCTAGACAGGATAGAAACTCAATATATTGAACTCCAAGCTCCACCAGAGGAAAATGCAATGTACGAGCAACGTTTATTGCAGCAAATTGTTACAGAAGTAGGACACAGATCCCTCTTCCTTGTTGAGAAGTCCAGGATCATTAGGGAAGGGAGCAGAAGAACAGTGACCAGCAGACGATGGTGTGGGAAGAATAGTCTCCTGCAGAGTGTGCATTTGAGTAAGCATGGACATTCGACAGATGAGTTGCAGTGGAAGAATGATTACAAGTTGACTCAGACATCACCAGCCCTTCAGTAGGGCTGGGAAGGGAGTTGGAGAGAACAATGTCATGCTCCTTCAAATACTCCTATGCCTATTTCAGAATCTCAAAGCTGGAAAATGGAGTTTTCTCATTTCTAAACCCACCCCAGCCACCTCTAGGATCACCCTACAATTACTATGTCTTCTGGACTGAGGCTAAAGCTCAACACAAGAAAGGGAATTTGGGACTCTTAAGAATTGAAACTGGGTTCCCTAAAATATATCACATCTTCTATCAACCTGGACATGAAGATCCTCTTTTAAGGCCCCTTGCCATCACGTGAAACGAGGCTGGTGATCACAACAGAGAAGGCCTTTTCGGTTGTGGCACCTCAGAACCATGCCTGGTGCTTCCTTTATGGTCTTTTCCCCATCAAGTCAAGGCTTTTTTTTATTCAACCAGGGTCTTTTAAATCTTAGGAAAGGGGTTGGTTAATCCGAGTCCCTGCAGATATTGCTGTGCTCCAGCAACCATTGCATTGGCAAGGTGGGCTTGCTGTTCAGAGTTTACGGCTGTTGCAGCCCAGTTTGCAAAGTAATGCATTGGTTTGGAGAAATACGTTTTTAAAATGGTGGCATGTTTTCTGTAGTTCCACATTCTGTGGAATTCCATATAGAATATACCTGTCACAGAAACACACACTATCTACAGATTTTTCAAGTTCTAGCTGTGGTTGTGGATATAATTGAAAGTAAGCAAGCAGCACCTACAAAATCCTCCAACCTTTTAGAGACAGAATATTTATATCTGGTATAGTTTCCTGCCTTTCTCCTTGTATTCTCCAGCTATGTTCCCTTTACCCATAACTGTTCTCTAGCTCTGAGAGCAATCCTCTCCAGCTAGCTTCATACCTCCGTACCTTCAAAAACACAGTTCTATAAGATTCACATGTCCATATCCACTTAAAAATAAGAAGACAAATTGACAAAGTTCAGGCAAAGTAAATTCGGGTTGTAGTCAAAGAAGTCAAACTCACGAGTAAACCCACTGAAATCAACTGGCGAAATTAACTTACATCCATTGGTGTCAATGGGTCAGAGTATGACATTGTGCTGGATGCAGCCCATAATTCACGGCTGGGGTTTTCATGGGGCAAACACATGAGCCTCCTTTAGAAAAGCAGCCTTCCTAATGCATATATTAATGCTTTTCTTTCTGGAACCTACTTGAGACACTCCTTCAAATATTAATTAGGCAGGGCCTAAATTATACATTGGGACTGAAAGGGAATGTGCTTAAGCGGCTGACATTTTTGGTGTGAGGAAGAAAAACACAGCTGACTGCTGTTTTCAACCAGAAATCGTTCTGAAGACAAGCAGCCTCCCTTTCCCTTTTCAAAAAGGTCAGAAAGCCACTTATGCACTGTGGAAAGCATAAATACTACAGCTGGATAATCAGTCGGATTATTAATTAACCTAGAAATTCAGTACCACGAGACAGATTGATGGCCCACAAATGTAGTTAAGCTCTGGGGGGGAAGAGCAAAGATTAGATAAACATTTTTTTTATTATTCAAAAGACAAAGCAATCACTAAATATCAGCTCCGATAAACGAAACATCTCAGTTCACATCAGCTGTGCTTTTGAATGCAGATTGCTGGCTGATAAAAGAGGGGTCATCCCTATATTGCTATTTTGGAGTTAGTGAAACCTTGGGTCAAGATTTTTTGTATCCCAAAGGACTTGAGGTGGTGCATATACGGTATTATTATATTATTATTATTTATTAGCTTTGTATACCGCCCTTCAGCTGAAGATTCCAGGGCTGTTCGCAACAGAAAAATTCAATACACATAACAAAACAAAAACCAATAACCCATTTCCACAAACACATTTTAAAAGCTGTAGAATGTCTTACAGTGGTACCTCTGGTTACGAACTTAATTCGTTCCGGAGGTCCATTCTTAACCTGAGGTACCACTTTAGCTAATGGGGCCTCCCGCTACTGCCGCGCGATTTCTGTTCCCATCCTGAGGTAAAGTTCTTAACCCGAGGTACTACTTCCAGGTTAGTGGAGTCTGTAACCCAACGTGTTTGTAACCCGAGGTACCACTGTATTATTTATTAAATTTGTGTATTATCATTTATTAAATTTGATACTAAATATGGCACTCTTTCATCCTCAACGATCACCCTTGTAAGGCAGGCAGGCGGTTTGTAAAATGGACCCCTCCCCATAATTCACTTGATGGGCTTCACAGCTGATTGGGTGATTTGAACCCAGGTCTCTTATTGCCTTACCGCTTTGAACCCAGCCAGATGGGCGGGGTATAAATAATAAATTATTATTATTATTATTATTATTATTATTATTATTCCCCAACCATTTCTTTGTAGCCTCAGTGAAGAGGGTTGCTGTACTTCTAACCTTGTGAGTGAGTGACAGGTGTCTACTGACTGACTTAATACGCTGGAATGTTTAAGGAACACTGATGAGCTGTGGAGAGAGTGCTTTACTGCTGTTCTCCGAATCTCTGGTTAGTTTTAACTGTGTTTTTAAAAAATGTGTTGACTAGTGAATGCATTCATGGCATGTTGTTGGCTTAGCAATCATGATTTGTTTAGGTGAAACAAAACCACAATCCTGGGCTTGGAGATCACACTTAAGCTAGCAGTCTGCTTTGTTTAGCTGCTAATGGAAGGCAGAAGCAAATGAGGAACGCTCATGGCTTAATAAACTATACTTTACGGCTAAGCATTATTTATTAATTGAGAAACATTTAGAAATCAACAATGGAAAAATCTCTGAAGTGTATGTAAAACATAAAACTATCGTCAAAGATGCACAGATAAAACCATACTATGCTAGAGGTAAGTATGTATCTGAACATGTTTGCCGGGGGGAAAATGGTTTCAGCTTGCATCTAAGACAGTATAGCAATAGCTGTCTTAGTATAGTATGTACTATAGCAATGCCTGTCCAATGTTAATAAGGCAGGGAGATTTGATCTCTGGTTAAGGGTTCTCCCATGGAAGGGCTGGTATAAACACCTCGTGTCTGAGAGTCCTTGAGAAGTGACAATGCCTAGTCATGACAAATAAGCAACTATGCTAGATGAATAACTGGGCTAAAACAAAAGGGCTGGCTTGGATGCAACCCTGAACTACAATTTAACATAAATTCACAAGGCAACAGCTTGCTGTTCTGTGTGAACCTGCACAAACACCGCTTTATTTTAACCATAGTTAGTGGAAACAAGCCGACTGCAATCCATAGGTTGGGAAGGAGCAGGGTTGCTTTCACTAATTGTAGCAGAGTTTACATTACACTAATCTTTCAGCACGGTTTACAATAAACTGCAGTTATTATAAACAGAGATGGAAGTGTCTATTTTTTATCACAGCCATAACAGAAAGTGGTGTAGGGGGTTGCTAATTCTCTGAACGCTGCCAATGCAAAGCAATTCCAGACCTACGCATTATTGCTTTTATAACTAGTTTATTAAACTGTAGCCTGCCTTGTTCAGCAGAGAAGCATTCTTCTGAGCAGTGGGGAAAATGTATGCTTTGTGTTTTCAGAGCCCAGTTTGCTGCATGTGGATTGGGCCTTCTGCCCTCTTGCAAAAGAGGACACAGAAGTGTATAAAATATGTATATAGTACTTTGTATTATATCCAATTTATATTATTTTGCATGGGGGGTTAATAGTTCCCAAAATAAAACAGTGCAAGAAATAAAATGTCTAACAGGGATAATGACAGCAGGAGCTTTCCTCATAATTTATATTGCCGTACAAGAAAAGGCTTAACCTGTGGAAATTCTGCCAGCATCACAGCTGTTGAACACAAGAACTCTGCTGCCCTCCACCATGTGAAGAACTCAAAACATTTTATGAGTTGTAAACCAGTTATGTTACTGTAGCTCTTTGATCAACTGACCACAGGCTGGCGATACTGCATTTAGTGCAAGACCAGGCGTGGCATTTCAAATGCAGTGGAGGAGGGGTCAAAAAAGATTTAAGATTGACAGCAACCAAGGGTCAAGATGCCCATGTTTGAATAAATTCAATATTTAAATTGTTAGAGAAAAACAAGCAGTGTACTTTTGTTGCAGCTATTTACTATCTATACCTGGCAGCAACGACAACAATGTTATCAGCTGAAGTCAACAGTCACTATTTTCTTTTCCAGCAAAAAAAAAAAAGGATTTGAGTCTTTGATATGAGTACCTTTCCTTTTTAGCGTTTATACCACCACCACCAGCAGCAGCAGCAGACCCACCCACTAGAATCCCCTTATTTTTTCCCCTCAGGCAGGATATTAATCCCCATCCCTCTTATGGTTTTGATCTATGGGCTACTTTTAAAATGAGGCTGCATTTTAAATTGTATTTTAACCTGTAATTTCACTGGTGTTAGCCACCCTGAGCCCGGCTCTGGCCAGGGAGGGCAGGGTATGTATAAATAATAATAATAATAATAATAATAATAATAATAATAATAATAATTTTATTATTATTAATTCTAGAACCTGTCACCAAATTTCACTTTTAAAAATTCCATCCAAGAAACTGGACAGCAATACTGGACTGCACTATAGGGTTTATATTTCCCAGTGCCTCAGCAGTAGCACTGGTAGAACCCATGTTTTCTCAATCACAATACCCAACCACCCCCTCCAGTTATGCATTTACATCAGTGTTTCCCAGTCAAGGAATCCTGGGGGTCCCCAACCCCATCCCTTGCCCCCCCCCAAAAAAAACCATTTTTTTACATGGTCATATCACAGAAAGACATGCCTCTCATCGCTCCAGCATCAGGTACATACCTGAAGCTGTTTTTGCTGTAAACACAAGTATTTTACCTGCATTTACTTTTAATTAGCCTAATAGCTAATATTTATGCTTTCAATTGAACTGCATAAGATGGGATTCGAACTTTGTTCAGGCCCATGCTTTTAAAACACAAGAAGTAAACTTTTTGTCTCCTAACCCACACACGTGGGTCTGTAGGTGGATAAAATATAGTTAATTAATTTCCCTCACCTATCTAATAAAACCCTTCAGATATGCTATTGTACAGTCATAGGTATACTAAAATATTGGGTTTCTCGATATTTTCTCTGGGCAACTATCACTTCTTTCCCAGGAAAGGGGTAAAAATCAGATTCAAAATGAACCAAACTGTACCGTCTCCACTGTCTGAATCTACATAGAAAAACCAAAGCGAAACATGCACCAAAGAAGACTCAAAAATAACTTTCAAATAAACCTGGAAGCCCCTTTTCAGTTGTCTGAAGATGATACTTCCTGGCTCATTTTGAGGGTCTTCTACTGAAGTTGTATGACTCTAAAGTTCTCTGTAGTCATTGTCAATCACATCTCTGACTTCACACATTGGTTAGAAGCAATGAAAGGTGGGAGCAGGTCCATATTTCACCAAGTAATTGTTAAACAGTGCCTGCACATTTTGCTTTGTAACTTTAATTCTACAGCAGCTAGAAACATTTAAAAAAGCAAAAGGAAGAAAGCTCAGCATCTGACCTCTGCTGGTTTGTGGACCAGTGCAGATGTATTCCATGTCTGCATTAGAGAACAATGTCTGATAAAAGAGAGCTTACGAAATGTACTTCCAATACCTGGTATGGCAGGGATGGTTTTAAATTCACCTCTTCTCATCAGAATTGTTTGGCCAGTGTGACAATCAAGAACAGAGGAAACTGCTTTATATCATGTTTGTCCATCTGGCTTGGCTTGACAACAGCTCTCCACGATTTCAGGCAGAGAAGTCTTTCCCACCATCTGCTACCAAATCCATTTTTGAACTGTACTGTAGATGACAGGGGTTGAACCTGTGTCTTCCCACATGCAAACCATGTGTTCCACCACTGACTTATGGTCCCACACTCCAGTATTTATTCCAACCCTACATTTTCTTAGGGACGCGGGTAGCGCTGTGGGTTAAACCACAGAGCCTAGGACTTGCCGATCAGAAGGTCAGCGGTTCGAATCCCCGCGACGGGGTGAGCTCCCATTGCTCGGTCCCAGCTCCTGCCAACCTAGCAGTTCGAAAGCACGTCAAAGTGCAAGTAGATAAATAGGTACTGCTCCGGCGGGAAGGTAAACGGCGTTTCCATGCGTTGCTCTGGTTCACCAGAAGCGGCTTAGTCATGCTGGCCACATGACCCGGAAGCTGTAGGCCGGCTCCCTCGGCCAGTAAAGCGAGATGAGCGCCGCAACCCCAGAGTCGGTCACGACCGGACCTAATGGTCAGGGGTCCCTTTACCTTTTACATTTTCTTAAAACTTAATTAGGGTGTCTCTTAACTGCTAGCGCAGCCTTCATCAAGCTGAGGTCTTCCAGATGTTTTGGACTACAAGGCCATGTTAGTGGATGCGAAGGTAGTGGAAAGTCATGCTAGTAGATGCAATCCAGAGAACGTTCACTTACAACTCCACTGAAGTTTCACTTTACTTAGCTCTTGAGTTTCAATTTACTTCTTCATTGTTACTTTAGCTTACCTATCTTCAGCTGGGACCATGCGCATTGATTACAAAGTCGTTTCTGGGTCAGATTTTCCATGCCTTTTATAACAAGAGGCAGTTCTTTCCATGCCTATACCACCATTTCAAAGCGAAAAGGTGGTTTTTGTTTTCATACTTTCTCAGCAGCAACATAACTGCTGTTAAATGTTTGCCACAACCTTCAACTTCAGTCAAAAAGAGCTAAGGAAAACAAAGGCTTCCTTTTCAACTGCCTTCTGCTCTGTTTGTTGTTGGCAGCATCAGCACAATACCTGTCTGTTTTTTAAACACGTTATACATAATAAACAACTGACAGAGTTCAAATGGAGAGCAAGAGAAGTGTTTTCTATTTTTAAAAGCTGGTAGCGCAGCAGGCAGATTAAGGGGAAGAAACCATAGCTGTGGAACACACAGTTTAGAAGTGGCATAGAGGTGAGTGCCAGCCCAGCTCACCCCTTTACCAATTTGGTCATTTATCCTTAAAAATGTATATTAGAACTTAAAATGTCAGAGCAGTGGGGTCTTTTTGTATTCTTTATATTTCAAGCTTTTTAATGTATCACTTCTCCATCAGCATCAGCAAAATGGAGAGTTATCGACTACCAAATACAACCATTTATAAAACTTACTGCGGTTTGACTGATCTGATTAATTTTAAGGTATCACTCAATTCATTTACTGTGCATAACACATTCATATTATTCTATGCTTGCCTTTGGCTGATGCTATTAAATACAAAAATTGTGCCCTAGTTAAAATATTTATGTGGTATCGAATGTTAGGTAAAGGTAAAGGTCCTCTAGATGGTTAAGTCCAGTCAAAGGTGACTATGGGATGTAGCACTCATCTCATTTCAGGCTGAGGGAGCCAGTGTTTGTCCGCAGACAGCTTTCTGAGTCATGTGACCAGCATGACTAAACAGCTTCTGGCACAACAGGACACCGTGACAGAAACCAGAGCGCATGGAAATGCCGTTTACCTTCCCGCTGCAACAGTATCTATTTATCTACTTGCACTGGTGTGCTTTCGAACTGCTAGGTTGGCAGAAGCTGGGACAGAGCAACAGGAGCTCACTCCGTCGTGGGCATTCGAACCGCCAACCTTCTGATTGGCAAGCCCAAGAGGCTCAGTGGTTTAGACCACAGCGCCACCCACATCCCTATGTCAAATGCTACTCTTACTTGAAGTAGGTTTATTGCTTTCAATGGCTCCACTTAAGGCATTGCCAAGATTTTATATCAACCAATATCTATAAAATCAGAACTGCTGTACTGAGAAGGACTGCTGCAAATTTCAGATTTCTAACACAGCAGGCATTTCAGAAGTGATGCAAAAATTATTGCTGTTGCTGTACTATAGATTAACAGGGTCTGCTTGGGAAGCTAGCACACAAAAACCTTTAGAAAGGAAATTCTGAAAAGGTATGTCTAATTCAGGACCCAGGTCTTCAAGTGTAGCACAGGGAAGGCACAAAACAGTGGTATGAGGCAGACACCTTTGCACAGAATTAAGCCTTTGCTTTTAAACCATAAGCAGAGAAATGAAGCACTGAAAGGGACATCACAATAGGCAACTCAGAGGTATCCCACATCAAGGCTAAAGAATGGCTCTGCTCTGTGCCAGAAGCAGTTTTTCCGCTGAGTCAGAGGCTTATGCATAATTCACAGGAATCTTTCAACAAGGGGCACAGTGTCCTGAAGTGGAAAGTCACACACAACTGGAATGTGGCAAACAATTCTGCGCAACAACAATGAGAGGTAGGAGACCCAACAGGACGGGCAGGGGGAAAGATTCTGCCCAGACACGGTTCCCTGGCTGCCCCCGCAAAGCAACAATTTCTGTTGCTAGGCTCCAGGTCCTGCTGAACAAGAACATCCGAAAGTTTCCTTATCACCTCAACACAGATTCTTGGGATTTTCTGGTGGCTGTCCCTTTTTGTCCCCAATTTTCCTTAGCGTCAACTCCTGACGCTTCCTGTCTAACTCAGAATCAAAACGGGGGATACGGGTATGATGTAGAATAAGAGGGCACTGGAGTATGATAATCACCAAGAATAAGCTCTTCCCCCTTTTCCTCTTAGTTCAGCAGAGCATCATCAAGAGATGTTCCGGGTGGACTGTGAACTTCCTTCAAGACTCAGCCATACCAGTTTCATTCTGGCCCGTGGCAGGAAAGATTGTTACTAACTTACACGGTACCGTCAATTTATTTGGTACTTACAAAGCTAAAAACAGAAGGCAGGTTTCTGCTCCAAAGGGCCTGCGAAAGATGCATCGAAGGAAGTGAGATTCTAAAAAGGAGGGATGGGTGAGCAAGAGTAACAGGGAAGTCTAGCGCTTTGGGCAAAAGTTGTTTCAGTTGGGTAATAACCCAGGAAAAGGTGTCATAGAAAAGGTTTAAAGCCATCCAGATGTTGGGACCTGTGGCCTTCACTACGCAATTGGACTCCAGTGCCCATTAACCCCAGCCAACAATGGCCCGAGACTATGGGAATTGGAGTGCAACATCTGGAACTCCACATGCGCTCTATCCCTGGTTTAAAGCAGGGGTGGGAAACCTTAGGCCTGGGGGTCAAATGCAGCCCTCCAGGCCTCTCTACATGGCCCTCGGAAACCTCCAAACTTCTATATTCAGGCCCTGGCCCTAAGTCCTACCCCAAGTGTTTCTGCCTGGCTGGAATATGCTCTTGAACTCATAACAATACCTCTTGCTTGTCTGGATGGAGATCAGAGGAAAGGGGAGTGTGGAAACCAGTCTCCTGTACAAAGATGGCATTTGAATTCGCTTCCCGCCCCCCACTTTTGCCTCTGGTGCTGCCCACCAGTGGCCCATGTCCCTCAGAAGGTTCCCCAGAGAAGAGATTGAGGTCCCTCCATCTGAAAGAGATTCTCCGCCCCCTGGGTTTGAAGGAAGGGAGAGAGCCATACAGAGGATAGACGAGGGAGCTCTGGGCCTAATGGGTAGCAATAGGTAGGGTGTTTTTAGAGAGCAGGAGGTCTTCAGGCTGTTCCAAGTGGTAAAACTGAAGGAGGGTGTGTGCTGTTGGGGAAGCAGGATAAGCAACTGAGGAAGGGAGCTTCATACGGTGTGGGCAACAAGAAAGGTGAATGATTCTGGCGGCAGCATTCTGGATGAGGTGCAGACAATAGTCAGATGAAAGTTCCACACACTTTCATCTGACTACTGTACATCCAAGGAACTCCAACTAGGATTGCTTCTATTTTCCCCTTTTTGTGATGGCTTTGTACTCCAACCTGTTGCAGCTATTGTTGATACTATTATTTCTTCTATCTAGTTCATTTGTAATTGGAAATCAATACAACACAATTTTTAAAAAATTCTGCATGTTTATCCGAACCCTGGGTAAACTATGATAATTCTATACAGGTGATTTTTCCCCATGGTACCAAGTAGGTTGTGCTGACTAGCCGAACCTTAGACACCGCCCATGATCCATCAACCTTTCAGTGTGCAAGTGTCCAAACACTTGGGCAACGGCTCAAGCAGCATTGAAGCCAACAGTCCTTTCTTGTTGTTTCCAACTCAGCAACTTTTATTGAGAAGGTAGACCAGGACCCCCTCCTGGATTCAGGTGGCCTCTATGTCTAGCTGTTGCATCCAATAACTGGAATTCATTGGAGAAGTATAGCTAACTGGCAGATGAAGACTTATCCTCCATGAATTTGTCAACCCCACTTTGAAAGCCATCAATCACCACACCTTACGGAAGCAAATTCTTTAAGCTAATTATCTGCATTCTAATAGACAGGGAGGAGGAGAAAAATCTCTATTCACCCTCAGCACACCTCCACCATACTTTTTCAGTCATCTTTTCTCCAAAAGGACAAGAAAAGGCTTTAGCCTTTCTTCATACAGTGCTCCAGTTTTAATCGTTTAGGTTGCCTTTTTCTTCTTTTCCAGTTCTGAGATACCCGTTTTGAAACAGGGTAACTGTGCAGAGTATTTCAAATACAGCCACAACATAGGTTTATAATATAAACCCTCACTTCTCCCAAAAAATAAATTAAAAAATTGTCCAGTGGCACCTTAAGAGACCAAATAAGTTTGTTCTGGGTATAAGCTTTCGTGTGCATGCACACTTCTTCAGATACACTGATACAGAAGTCACCAGACCCTTATATATAGTGGGAGGGTGGGGTGGGTTTTTTCTCAGAAGGGTAGTAGGAGATGGATGATTGACTCAATGGGTATGGTAAACCTGTTGACGACTGTTAATGACTGCAATTAGTCCAAAAGGAAAAAGCAAGGGATCGTATGCAGATGACCAAAAATAGCTACTGGACAATTTTTAAAAAATTATTTATTTATTTCGACTGTGTCAGACCAACACGGCTACCTACCTGAATCTTCTCCCAAAAACTTTCCCCTAAAAATTCCTATCTTTTCGACATCATTGCACACCAATAATCCCAGGAAGTGAATTGGTTAAACGAGGCTCAACTCTCTAGACTGTGTCTAGAGAAGGGTTGCCCAAACTTGGGTCTCCAGCTGTTTTGGGGCTACAATTCCTATCATCCCTATCTAGCAGGACAAGTTAGAGACCCAAGTTTGGGAATCTAGAGTATCCAGATTAGAAGCACCATCAGCAAGCATCACCCAAAGGCATCTTCTGCCTTACACAAATTCTACACAGAAGACCCAACAGAGGCAACAGTTTTGAAGCAAGCAGCAGCACCTCCTTCTATGTGCAGCATAAAATCTCAACCTCAAGCAATTATGTTGGGAAGAAGGGCTGGGCAGCAGGCAGAGAGGAAGGAAATCTAGACGGCCGCTTTCTGAGCAGACGCCACCAGAGAGATGTACAGCCAGATCGTGAGACACACATTTTCGAAAGGGACACAAGCCATGGCATGCTGAAGAAACACATTGATTAGTGAAATGCAAAGGAAGTGAAAGCAGGTTACCTGAAGGCTTACTCAGCTTTGATGAAAACATAGGGGCAGGTTTCTCCTTTTCCTTGACAGAAGCAGCTCCTCTCTCAGCTCCCTTTCCTACACTGTCTAACTTTTTCTCTGCCGGCGAAGGAGTAATATCAGCTGGGGGCAAGATCTCCTTCGTTGCTTCAGGCACTTCTCTGTCCGGTTTCACGGAGGGTTTTCCCAAGGCAGGACCTTTCTCTTCATTTTTGACTTGCACATTCTTTAAAGAAAGGTCGTGGGCCACCTCTTGGTAAGGAGATTGCCTTGCCTCCGATTCAAATACATCACGGGGCTCTCTGCTTTCCATCTCCTTCGACACATCTTTTTCCATCACTGACTTAGCAGCTTGATAAGGAACTGTGGGGAAATCATCCGTCTCTGGAGAGGATTCTGCAGACAACACAATTTTGTCTCCCACTTTGAGCTCCTTGGGAACAGGAAAATAACCTGCGCCAGTACGTAGTTCTTCCATATCTAGTTCCTTCCATGTCTTCTCCTCCTTTGCCAGATCTGCAGCCGCTACTTCTGGAGCCCAAACAGTGGGTGCATTTTTGGGGGGTTCAGTATGAGGCTGGAAGGATTCTAGGTAAGGTTTGCTAAGGGAAGGTGGCAACTCCTTCTGCTTCTCCTCCCAAACTTCCTTGGATACAATCTTAGCAGCAGATGCGGTGGTTTTCTCTTTCAAAGCTTCCCTCTCTTTCTGAGCAAGAACAGGTTCTTGACAACTACCAAATAAGTCACTTTTCCCAGGTGCTTTCTCGTCAGGCTCGGCATATTCAGGCACAGGTTGGGAAACACATTCTGAAATCGCCTCCTTGGATTTCTCTGCAACGGCCGGCAAAGCAGATTCATTGGAAACCTTAGTTTCTTTAACTAAGTCGCATGCAATGGATATATAAGAATTCTCCAAGTCTTCTGCAGTTGTACCATTCTTATGTCCGGGTTCTTTATCGGCAGCATCAACCTTGGTTTCCTGTGCTTGACTTGCGGGTACATTCATTGCCTCCTGATACGAGGGCGGCTCCTCAGACTTCTGCATTACATTCTCGTAGTCGTTCTCGTAATCGCCAGCAAACGCTTCCGAAGGGGAGGCTTCGGTTTGCACGGCAGGAGCAACCACCCCAACAGCGCTTGCGTTCAACGGTGCTTCCATGACAATATCTGGCAAGACAGGGGAAGGAGCTGTTTCAGACCCTCCTTCGAACGAGGGGCAGAGCTGCACGGCCACATTCAAGGGCTCTTGCGACGACTCGGACACCTGAACCAAATCGATCTTCGTTTCGTAAGCAAGTTTGGGGCTAACTGCATCATGAAGTTCGCTCTCATATGCTTCTTGCACTAAGTCAGGAGTAAGACCTTCGGGCATATTGGCCAGAGCATCAGTAGACGCCAGCAGATTCTCGGCTTTATCAGATTCAGCATTCTTGCCCTGGCCACTTGCCAACTCATTGTGGGCAACGCTTGGTTCCGTTCCAAAATGCGCCTTCATCTCTGCTATCTTTTTCTCATCTGTTTTATTTTCAGAAGCCTGCTCCTCCACCAGAGACTTGGCTGTGCTGCCCTCAACTGTCACAGCGGATTCAAACTTGGCACAAGTAATGTAGGCTTCTGAAAATTCTTTTGCGGCTTCTGGAGTGCTGGGGAAAGAAATATCTTCATTGCTGCTTTCATGCTTCTTCTCGCTCTCTTTTCCAAAGTCTTTTTCTACCGGCAGAGTCTGAGCCTCCTCTGTGTCATATTTACCTACACCATCCATCTGACTCCTAGCCATTTCTTTCAAACTGCTGCTTTCATTGCTAGCCCATGATGGTTCAAAAGGCTTGAAATCCACATAGTCATCCCTTGCAGAAAGGTCTACGAAAGCCATATTTTCGTCGGCATCGTGCTTTCGGTCTTCAAGAGATGCATCGTAATCGTGCTTCACAAATAGCTCGACAGGAGATTCTGGAGAAGAGTCCTGCTGGTGTGCAGATAGTTTTTCTATATTAAACACTTCATTGGTGCCTGATGGTTCCTTGGTCTGAGATGAAAAGAACAGCCCTGTCCCAGTGTCAGAGGGCACTGCTGCTGAAGGTTTTGTTTCTGAACCACCAGCATCTTCAAGGAAAGGGTTCCGTGCGTTTTTGGTAGCAGCGGTAAATGCCTGGCTTTCAACCTGACCGTAACTGCCCTTTGTAGGTAGCCCGCCTGATATTGCGTTGGGGGCTGTGTAGTCTTTAAAAGGATTGGCTGAGAGAGGAGAGAGAGAGGGAAGAGAAGCGGTAGCGTCAAGGGGGGCTGCAGCGAAATCTTCTCGCCATGCACGACCCAGCTGCTCCTGAAAGTCCATACCTTTGTCTGTGGCCGTGGACAGAAAGGAAAGTTAGCGAAGAGTGCAAGTGGTCTGAAAGTTAAGGCAAGTTTTAACGACAAGATCCACCCCCCTAAAAACAACACAGTAGCTAGCTCTCAACGCTTACAGCTAGAAAGGTTAGTAGGGAAAGCATGCAATATTAAAGCTAAGAGAGGGTAAATGTAAATGAAGCAGCAAATGTTGTGCAATCCAATAAGGTTAGGGGAGAGCTTAGAGCAATGCAAAGTACACAGGTTTTGCAGAACGAGCCTGAGAAATAGGTCTCATTGTCCTACGCCCTCTTTTTTTTTTTTTTGGAAAAAAGCAAGTGAATAATAATAACCCTGTGAAGAAATAATATTGATGTTCTCTTAACCATAGCCAAGAGAGTAGGAGAAGGCAATAAGTAATACATTTCCTCTCCCTCCCAAGTCTTCAACTAGGGTTTCCATATTTTGAAGAGAGAGAAAAGAGGACGCTACGACGGCCATTAAAAGCAAATGAATGCAGTTTGTCTCAAATCTTACCCCTGAAAAAGAGGGTGTGTCCTAGGAACTGAGGACTCACCGCAACCCTACTTAACACCAACTATGCTTAAGACGAAGTAGGTTCCCTCCAAACCAGCATTTGCAAATCAACTTCAAGCCCGGGTAACACGGGGAATCCTGCTTAGCATTAATCATAGTTAAGAGCCAGTGTGGATGTTAACAGTAAACTGGGGAATAAATACAAGGAGGAAGAGGAAAACTCAAAGAATCTGAAGCCCAGTCTCTTAACTATATACCGTATTTTTCGCTCTATAAGATGCACCAGACCATAAGACGCACCTAGTTTTTGGAGGAGGAAAACAAAGGGGGGAAATATTCTGAATCTCAGAAACCAGAACAACAAGAGGGATCGCTGCGCAGCAAAAGCAGCGATCCCTCTTGCTGTTCTGGCTTCTGGGATAGCTGCGAAGCCTGCATTCGCTCCGTAAGACACACACACATTTCCCCTTACTTTTTAGGAGGGAAAAGGTGAGTCTTATAGAGCAAAAAATACGGTAATTAAGAGATTGGCAGGGTTACCTTCATCATACACCCGACAGGTGAAAAGACGAAGCAATTTCAAGTATGGTAAACTGCATTAATGCTAACAGTTCATTAATTGTAACCAATTAGAGCCAACTCTACATCAGCAAAAGCAACTACACCTTTAATAGTTATTCTGTTAATAGTAGCTACAAGGTGTTCCTAGGGGAAAGTTCCAAGAATTCATGGACAGCTGCAGTTTAACTGCAAAACACAAACTGCCCAAGTTTGAATTTTGAGCCACTTCGAAACAAACAAAACATGTTTTGCAAATTTAGAAGACTTTAGTATTCTTGGATCTGCGACAACTTTTTTTTAGTAAATACATCTAGAAACTATTAGTGGGAAAGGAAAACGCAAAGGACACGGAGGGGTGGGGACATACTCTAATGCAAAAGGCTAGCTGAAATAACTTGCCTGCAGAAGAGTGCATCAGAGGGTCAGATGCAACAGGAAGAGCAAAAAGGGTCTCATCTGAAAAACAAATACAGTATGACCTCAGCAGAAATAAATGTGGAAAATGAGCTCAAAGAAGGGAAAGAGGGAGAAGAGAGTATTCAGCATTCATATTTTTAGCAGATATTGTACACCCATATTTAAAAAGAACGAAACAAGAGAATTCGCATGCAGGATTACTCTGTTTGTCACAAAGTGGAAAAGCTTCTGCTAAGGAACACTCCTCCCCATTCCACCACACACCCCCGGCCACTTGCCCCAGTCTTAGCTGCAAGACTAAATAGGAACGCCCAGGAATATTGACTCAGGATCCACCAGCCAAAAAATTCCAGGGCGTTTCATCCGCTACACTTATTTGCTAATGTGGGTCATTAACAGGTCACTTAAAACTCCACCCAGAATTCCACACCAGCAGATGTGATTCACACGGTTACTCTCCTAAGATGAGGATCAAGAGTCCCTAATTTTAGCACACTTCCCCCTCCACACTTTCGTCCCCTAAACATATGAACATTAAGTACGTTAAGGAATTGAATCTCTCGGGGGTGGGGACAGCTATTGCTAATTGACTGCAGAAATAAGGAAAATATGTTTTAATATAATATTTGGGACTGTTTTAAATGCTACATAAAAGCAAAGCAGGTTGTATAAAATCATGAAATAGCATAGGCAGAATCAGTGCACTGACTTAACAGTCTCAAGAGTGCATGTATGTTCACTTACTCCTGTACTAAGGTTGAGCTAACATATTTCCACTGAAGCAAAGAGCAAAAGAGCTTTGATTTAACCATTAGCCCTCGCCCAAGTCTTCTACGCCCTCCAGTTCACATCTTGTGATCAACTATTTCAAGAGCATAGTATCGGCAGGATAATTACTAGCTATCCTTCCTGACTGATCCAAGAAGCAAAAAAAAAAGCGTTATGCAAAGGGCGCCACCTGTGCCCCTGCAGGAGAGCTCTGCCAGAGCCTCACTTAATGAGGCAACATGTGAACTTGGTGGGAAAGCGATTAAAGGACTATGAGCAAGCCAGTGCACATCTAAGATGATGCAGAAGCTGAGAAATGCACACCATAGCAGCTGACTATCAACAATAGGGAATGGCTGGCTTGAATCATGCACTATATGGTGTTGTGTTTGTCATGAGGCCGGAGGAACATCGCCCGGCTGTGAGGCGTGAAGACCGCTCCCTACAAAGCCCTTTCCACCTGGCCTAGGGGGCAAGGCCCAGACTCACCAGCCCCACTGAAGAGGCTCCTCATGAGGCCGGAGGAACGTCGCCCAGCTATTGTTTCATTGATTGATTTATTTAATATGCTGTAAACCGCGTTGAGATTTTTATTTAAAAATATAAAGTGGTATAAAGGTAAAGGGACCCCTGACCATTAGGTCCAGTCGTGAACGACTCTGGGGTTGCGGCGCTCATCTCGCTTTATTGGCCGAGGGACGGCGTACAGCTTCCGGGTCATGTGGCCAGCATGACTAAGCCGCTTCTGGCGAACCAGAGCAGCGCACGGAAACGCCGTTTACCTTCCTGCCGGAGTGGTACCTATTTATCTACTTGCACTTTGATGTGCTTTCGAACTGCTAGGTTGGCAGGAGCAGAGACCGAGCAAAAGGAGCTCACCCCGTTGCGGGGATTCGAACCGCCGACCTTCTGATCAGCAGGTCCTAGGCTCTGTGGTTTAACCCACAGCGCCACCCGCGTCCCTATAAAGTGGTATAGAAATTTATAAATAAATAAATAAAGCCTGCTGGATGTTGTTTGCCTCTCCCAAACCTCGCAAGTGCATGCCCAAAGGGACTGTTTTCAAGTGCCAGCTGCAGAAAGCATCACCATTGCTGTTTTTAGTGCATACCACCTACATGTTTTTGCTGAAAATTCCTTGGGTGGCCAAGGAAGCCAACATGAATATAATGCATTATACTGGGCTACCTTCTAGAAGGCTGATTAGAAGCCTCAGTTATTTCAGAATATGGGAGCCAGACTTCTGCCTAGAGTTATGCCACACTGAACGGAACTTGTTTTAAGAGATCTGCCCCGGCTTTCAGTGTTTTTATGGGTCCAATTCAAGGTGCCGATTTTGTCCATACTAGATAGCATGGCTGCCATACAGTCAATCTCTACTGGCGAATAAGTACCATAATTCCAAGCAGGAAGAAAGACTTTTCAGTGGTGAATTCTTTCCTCTAGAACGCCATCCAATTATCACTATTCTGGCAACAATATTATTATTATTATTATCCACTGCATTTAGTGGGTCTTTCTCTGCTTCCTGCAGTTGCTTTTTCTCTCTTGTGTTTTAAAATAAAATAATTATATTTCTATTTAGTTTTATTATTAGTCCACTTTTTTATTCTGTTATTGCTTTGTCCTCGTTAGCAAACAGTGGCCTAAAAACATCAAACATACAGCATGATTAACATTTCCCAACTTTCTTAGGGTTGTGTGGAGTTACATCATACACATCCACACACCCACACACCCTCTTGGCCCTGAAACTGCTGAAGAACACAAAACGGGAGAGATGCTTTGCAACATACACTTAAATAGTCTCCTGCTGTTATGTACACATTCTACTTCCAAAGCATCAAGTATAAAATGGAGCCAATCTTTATTTGGTCTTTGATTTCTTGAAAGTATTAAGCCGCACAAAGAGATCAGATTACTGCACTGCTCAGGTTGCCAAGTAAAGCATCCGAGAATTAAGGAATGCTAGATTGCCTCTGTACGCTTACTCAACAAAGCAGAGATCCGGCGGAGGAGAACAAAGATGTGCATTGCAAAACCAAGGCGCTATTAAATGCACGCATTTATTTGCACGAGATGCAGAAAATGGTGTGGGCGATGATCTCATCTAAGTTTTTACATTGCCTGATTTCCCACACCAAGTAAATTTTAAGGGGCAGATTATTATTATTTATTGAATTTATACCCTGGCCTCCCTCCTGAAGAAGCCCTGGGTTATCAAAATTGTGTAAAGGGAATTATTAAGAGGATGGCTGAAGAACTTCGTGGGAAGCTGCAGAGTGCAAAGTTTATTGCTACATGGCATCTGAAAAACAGCTTTCTTCATATTGTAGGTTACTACTGCAAAATTAATGCTGCAGAGTATAAGTGCTGCTCATGCAAGCAGAGAGTGGTACAACATATTTTGCTTTCAGTTTATACTGCTACCCTATTATCTGTTAAAAGGGCTTGAGAAAGTGTGCACCATAAAGTCCGTTTGGTACATTTTAATTATTTATGCACAGCTAGACAAGCATCACTTTGGACAATGAGTTATGAGATGGATTTCCACATTAAAATTTGACCTTAGTGCAGATCTGATAGCTGAAATGAGAACAATTAAATGGTATTGATGAGGACTGTTAGACATTTGAAATGTTTATTTATTTAAACATAGAATCATAGTATCACCCCCGCAATGGAGGAATCTCAGCCTTTTTAATGGATCGTTTCTAAATGTGCATGTTATCAAAACCTTTCCAAGTTATTAAATTGCAAAGTAGCAACCACTACTTATCATCAGAAGACAACACTACCATTAATATCTATTCTTTTGGCTTATTTAAAGTTGTAAATGCAAAACTGTCTTAAGAATTGTCCCTTAATGGCATACAAATATGAAATGTAGGCATGCAGACTCTAATATTGAAGTTATGCATCCATTTACTATTTCAGAGAAGACACACCCCCTTTAAGGAGAGGAAGCACTAAAGTCAACGAGGTGGCAAAACAGGAATTATTTGTTCTGCTGCACAGGAACACACCTCAAAACCCTTGATTCCACAATCAACAGGAATCCTGCTCAAAGTATCTTAACTCCTGGTCTCATATGAACGTAACTATCTCACACTGGTGTATTAACTCCTATTGGTAGTGGTTCTCCAAGACTGAAATACTGAACCCTCACACTCACAAGAAGTTGATACATGAAAGAGAAGGGTTCAGAGGTCACAGAAGAGTATCCCAGAAGATAGGATTAATGGGAAGGGGCCCTGTTTGCCCCTAGGCCCCAATTTATTGATCAATGTAATTTAGTTATTGTCAAAGGCTTTTTAAAAAATGGAATGCAAGTAGTAATCCCTTTAAGGATATGTTTTAGATTCACATTTATCATTTAGTTGCTTTCAAATGCTTACAAAAGAAGAAGGGTATAAATACCATCTTAAGTGATTTGCCAAGAGAAATCATCCATCCTAGAAAGATAAGAGCTAGAATTCAAGTTGATTGCCACTTAGGATGGATCATCAGGTATCAACAGTGGCACACAACACCCCCCCACACACCACCCTTCTCAGCTTCCTGGGATTGACTCCTCCCCTTCCTGAAGCACCAACAGGAGAAGTGAGGCTTCCTGGAACACTATAACAGGAGATGTGAGGCTTCTGCTTGTCAGGTGCATAGGACAGTACCAAAACATGGCAAGTAGGAGCCTCTATACTTTGGCCACAGAGCGGTTTAAATACTAGTCCAGCTTTGACTACAAAAGCATTAGTACAAGCACTGGAATGAAAAACAATGAGAAAACAGATCAAAACAAGGCCACTGAAAACTTACTTGCAGCCATTCTGGCATTATTACAAAGCCATTACGAACTTACAACTATTATGCAAATTCAACAGTGAAATAAACAACGGACATTTGTACAACAGTTGCATCTGCTGACTTCCCAGATGCTTCCATTCCCTGCTTCCGTACACATTTAGTATGTACAGCTACAACTGGCTTTCCCCCTCAATAATGACTAGACTTTCATAAAATCAAGCTTGTTTTGGCTGAGAACAGAAGGTAATGATATAATATCTGTTCCCTACATACTGGCGTTTGAACCTTTTGAACTCAAATCATAACCTCCAAAAATATTAAATTGCTTCAACAAATCTGCATACATTTCTAAACAAGAAAATACGCCCAGTGCAACAACAGAGAAGGGCAAAAGCCATTTTGCAGAAGTCTTCCGAAACAATGTTATCAGAACAGTTACACTCTGCCAAAGCTATCAGACTGAAAACACATAAGCTCTTGACAATCATGAGGTCTCCATACAAGCAGACTTGCAAAAGAGAAGTCACAGCCCAATCCCTGTCTTATTTGCTGCACTCTGGAAGAATTCCCAGGGCCCCACTGTTTGCAACTGTTTCCCACTTATGCCTGGGAAAATGTAAGGCTCTCTCAAGCTCATTGGAAGTATGGGCAGGGATGGGGCAACGCCTTGGGTTCAGAAGCCCATGTTGGAAGTCTGTGCCAGTTTTTGCTAAGCTGTTGCAGGCAGGCTGCCAGTGTGGCTAGCCCACCTGTCTGAGGCTCTCAGCCTGCGTGAACTGGCTGGGGAATAAAAGCTCTGTGGGAGGGGAAGAAAGCCCCATGTGTTCTCAGCAAGGCATTGTAGAGGGATGCAAGCAAAACCATATACTGAAGGAAGGGAAAATGAGAGAGAAAAGAGAACCAGTGGAGAAGGCTGAATCCCCAAGAAAGAGCGAACACAGCGAGACACGAAAATGCAGGGAAAAAGAATAAATTTTTAGAAATTGAAAGATTTACATGTGGAGAGATGTGTGGTAGTGTAAAGAGAAGGATGTGTTTTGAAGGAGCATGTGCAGGGAAGATTGGCAGGTGGCAGAAAAGGGTCTGACTCTACGCCAATCGATGCATTGACTCAAGACAGCCTTGTGGAAGTTCAAAGTTGAGTACATATTGAGCTGGTGATGTCAAAGGAATAAACAACTACCTGACGTTTAGAAGACATCTGAAGGCAACCCTGTTTAGGGAAGTTTTTTAATGACTGATGTTTTGATGTGTTTTTAATCTCCTGTTGGAAACCACCCAGAGTGGCTGAGGAAACCAGTAATAATAATAATAATAATAATAATAATAATAATAATTGCTTGGCATTCTTATTTTTCAAATAAGCACATATTCCCATCCACCCTTCAGGCCAAGCACTGAGACTTGAAGGTCAGCAGTGGAGAAGCTACATGTGGAAATATGGTCTTTAGGAAGAACCAGAAGGGACATGAAGGGTTAAGCACTGACCCTCCTAGGCACAAACCTCCTGACTGGGAGAGATCCAACTGCAACTCCTAGGATGAGAAGCACATTGTAATCCTGAAGGCAGGGGAGTGCCTTACATCTGATCTTTTTAAGCTACTCTGGAAAGTCTTTGATGTGAAATAATGGGATAGATGCTTTAGATAAAGGGGGAGAAGAACAGATTCGAAGGTAAGTTGACTACAGGTAGAGGGAGAAGGCAGTAAAAGTTGTGAGAATTGGGGGAAGGGAAACCAGGAGGATAATTGTGTGTTATAGTGGTGCAGAGAGAAGCAAGTTCTGGATTACAGAGGGGAAAAACGAGGGAGGGTTTAACAGGGGTTTGTTTCACTGAGAAAAGGGACTTCATCCCAACAGCATATGAAAGCTGAGATGAGCTAAAAGTATGTGGAGAGGATGACAGGTATTCAAGGTATGTTGCCAACAGCACACCTTCTCAGGTAAACATTTGGGAACAATGCAAATACCCAGTGACATACTCTTGAGCTGCTGCCAAAACTTTAAAGTTGTTATCCTTTAATATTACTGTAAATAGAAATAGGATTTATGGTGAAACCTTACCGGAACTGCAGTCCTTGTGTTCAGAAGGAAAAATGTGATACAATTCAAGAAGGCATTTACATGCAAAGCCTACCAAGCCTTAACTAAAGTTGTGCATTCTCTATGTATCCACCAGAGGTGGGGAAGCCAAAATGCTGCTCTCCAGATGTTGGTGGTAGACTACAGCTCCCATCTTCCCAGATAATCAGCCATGCTGGATGATGTAAGCTGTAGTACAACATATCGTTTGCAGCATGTAGTGTTGAGCCAAGCCACCAGTCTCCCTCCAGGTCAATCACGAGCTATAACCAAGGCAAACCACTAACTCACGTTCCAAGGATGCACCAAGGCAAACCTTAGCTCACAGCAGGACCAGAGAAGCAAAGTAGCCACAATCTCCTTTCTAGGGGGGGGCCGCACATTTTCAAGCTAAACCATAGTTTAGCTTGATGACTTTGGCATATTCTTCTCCCTGTTGCTCTGCTATGCCTTCAGCTTGACTGGAAACAGTCTGTATCTCCATTCAAGGACTGATAGGGTCTGCTCAACCTGGCACAACTCCATGCCAGTACAAAAATGTGGCGGGTTCTTATCCAAGAGATGTTGTTTGCAGATGACACAGCTTTGACAACGCACTCCGAGGAAGCTCTACAAAGACTCATCTCAAACATTTTGCCCAAGACCGCAGGGAGTTCAGCCTGATGAAGACCAGCATCCTGAGTTTTGATGTCGCCAGCTCTCCACACATCAGAACTGGGGACCACACACTAGAGGTGGTAGACAATCCTGTCTACCTGGGCTCCTCCATAACCAGCAACCTCTCCATCGACTCTGAGCTGGACAAGCATATTGGCAAGGCAGCTGTGGCAATGGCTTGCCTCTCCAAAAGGGTATGGGAGAATGTGATGCTAACGACCAATACCACGATGAAAGTCTACCTGCTTGCGTGTTGAGCATGCTGCTTTATGCAAGTGAGCCATAGGCAACTTACAGCCTTCCATATGCACTGTATCAGAAAGATTCTGGCCATCACATGGCAGGGCGCCAAGTTGACGACCAGAGTTAAAAGTATCATTTCCACTGTGTGTGTGTTTCTCCTTCTTGCATACTGGGACAAGTGATCTGTTGTAAGAGCAAGCTACCATCAAGCAATGTAGCTGAGATCATAGAAATTGTAGAACTGTTGCATTGGACGGGATCCCAAGGGTCATCTAGTCCAGCCCCCTGGCGAACAGACATTCTGGCACCTAGAGTTTCTAACACTGTACTGTGCTGTTAGAAGATCTGGCTATGTGGCAGATGACAGCATCTTGGGAATCCCAGCTTTCATGTTGAAATAATGAGTTTTTAGGCCCTATGGCTGCAGAAGCAAGCTTGAGAACATGTAGGCAGTCAGCATCTGATGAAGACTCAAAGTGGCTGGGGAAGATAGCACTCCTGGATTCAAGAGTTTTCACTGTGGCCAGCCAGATGCCTGCGGAAAACTGAAAAGCAGAACCTAAACACAAGACCATTCTCCCCTCCTGTGGCTTCCAGCAGCTAGAAGCACTTTTGCCTTCAACCATAGAGGAAAAAAAGCATAGCCACCCTGGCTAGTGGCCATTGACAGTCTTAGCTAACTATGCACTGCATGAAGTACTTTCTATTATATGTCCTGAATCTTCCAACTAAATTTCCACAAGCTCTATATTTATGAAAAAGGGAGAAAAACTTCTCTCTATCCACTTCTTCTGTGCCATGAACTCACCTCAACCTGTCCTAGCACCTACCTACTTCTTCCCTTCTGATTATTTCCACTGCTCGTTGCCATATCCCAGGTTTTTCAAAAGACTAACTGCAAAATTAGGCAAATAATAATAATAATGCAAATTTGCTGAAACTGCATAATTTTTGCAAACAGCAGGATATGAGCTTGTTTTTGACAAGTTAAGGTCATAGCTAGATGCAGCATCTTCATAAACAAGAATCTGGTTACACACTAGGAAGCACGATGCCAAGGTCAAAAGACTGAGCAGGATTTCATGCACTCAGTTAGAAAATGCATGCTTCCATTTATATCCACCGCAAGCCAGTTTTTAGCCAAGCTCTTCACAATCTACACAATCTGTTCGACAGTGGAATTTGCTGCCAAGGAGTGTGGTGGAGTCTCCTTCTTTGGAGGTCTTTAAGCAGAGGCTTGACAACCATATGTCAGGAGTGCTCTGATGGTGTTTCCTGCTTGGCAGGGGGTTGGACTCGATGGCCCTTGTGGTCTCTTCCAACTCTATGATTCTATGATTCTATGATTCTACACTCTAGAACTGAACTCCTGCATTTAAATAATATGCACAGAGAACACAGAATGCAATTCCTGTGCTAAATGTCCACATTTACTCTCTTACTAATAACAAAGTAAAAAATCCGCTGCAGGAGAACAAACTATTAGAAGTGAGTCAGAGTTAGCAGTTAACTATAGAGGATGCTCAGAGTTAGAGCTTTATCAGTTCTTAGTGATTGTTCACTGGGTTATAAGCATCCCAGCACCAGCTTTTAGTGGAGCAACTCTAACCAAAGAAACAATTCAAAGGCTATAAAGGTAAAGGTACCCCTGGCCATTAGGTCCAGTCACAAACAACTCTGGAGTTGAGGTGCTCATCTCACTCTATAGGCCGAGGGAGCCGGCGTTTGTCCACAGACAGCTTCCGGGTCATGTGACCAGCATGACTAAGCATGGCGAACCAGAGCAGTGCATGGAAACGCCATTTACCTTCCCGCCGGAGCAGTACCTATTTATCTAATTGCACTTTGACGTGCTTTCAAACTGCTAGGTGGGCAGTTTGAACTGAGACTGGGATTGGGACTGAACAGGAGCTAACCCCGTTGCGGGGATTCGAACCACCGACCTTCTGATCGGCAAGCCCTAGGATAGCTCAAATGTACTCATCTGCTGGGGTTACTAGTGGAAAGCCCTGAACCATGCTGTCAAGCCATGTGCATTAGACTCCTCCTCCACGAGACAATCCAACCATGTGCTGCATTAACAGGCAAGCCTCGGCTACCCACACAAACACTCCATTTGAATGAATCAGCATGAAGAGAAGTTCAAAAATCGCTCTTGACATGTGGATGGCCAACACAGGCAAATACTTTTCAAGTGAGCATGGTTGTTCACACACAGAGCACTCTTACCTCTCTGTAGTATGAAACAACATTCCACTGAAAGAGAACAACCCTTCAAAATTCTTTGCTCACAGAATTCAATTCTGTATACACCGATGTATTAAAAGTTACCGGTAAGTAGTATTTCCAGTGCTACACAAAGTAGCTGCAGAAATATGCCAAAATGTATCAACACTATTATTTAAGGGCCGTGACGCAATCGACCTGCCCCTATATACCTGTGCTACTGGAGAATTACTGTGTAATTAAGCATTTTGCAGAAGGGAGCTGACAGAATCCGGACCTGTGTTACTTCAGAACGCAAGTTGTGGTTGGTGAGGGGACATATATGTTTTTAATTTCCCACATGCCAAAACCTCTCCGTATGTAGTAAACCAGAATATCAGGGAGAGACAGCTTTCGATACAGTAATCTCCCTGATGGGTTACTTTACAACATGCAAGTAGTGTTTCATATGGCAAGACACAAATGGGACACACCCACCTGCTGTCAAAGGGGAGAGGGAACACCTGCAGAAATGGGGAGACCTACCTAATCAGCACATGAAAAGACCAACATTTCAGTGGGATCAAATGAAAGAATCACTGGGTTCTAGAAATGATGAAACTACAGGAAGCGGAACACCCCTTGTTTTGAATCTGGGGAGAAAGGAAAATAGTAGCATTTTCCAAAATGAAGGGAAAGTGTAAGACAGAAATATTAGGAGGAAAGACACCCAGTTATTGATGGGGAAAAGAGGGGAGGAATGTGCAACCAGAGATTGACAGCACAGTAGCAAATATGTGATAGATAAGAGTAGCAAAGTGAGGTTAACTATCTATTCCATAAACAAGGAGAATACACCTAGTCAATACTTGGATGAATACCCAAGATTCTCTGGAGATCAGACAGCAGCTCCACAAATGTTTTCTCCCTTCAGGACTTTGGCAAGTTTCTGGTTCCATTTAATTCTAACCGTTCTATTTTTCAGAAGTCACTTTTCATTTAGGAATAATAAAACCACCAGCCACTCTCCCAAGCAGTCACAGAATTCTTGTGACAATTCCCACCCTGGCCAGATTATAAAGTCCAAGTTCTTCTACAGAAACACACACACCCCTTCCTACTATATAAACGTTTGCAACACAAGACAAGGATTTTTTGCTGCCATTTTTAACTATCTTAACTATTAATTTGTATCTCATTTCTGGACATCAAGTTTGTAGTTAAAACACATCAAGTCTGTTTGTAATTGATCTGATGCTTATACAATGTTCTTTCTACCGAAGTCTTTCCTTTCACTCCTCTTTGCCCTACTTTGAGACTGTACCTTATTAAGCTTCAGAGTGTTTTGATACATCATTCTCTTTCTTGTAATTCCAGGCATCTTGGGCACAGCCTAGGCTACCTGAACAATTGCATCTTCCTATATGACCCTCCCAATGTAATCCTCAGGTGAGCACCTTCTCTCAACCCAATCAACTTCAGAAGCACAGTTGGTTGTGACATAAGAGAGAGCCTTTTCAGTGGTGGCTCCCATATTGTGGAATTCCCTCCCAAGAGAGGTTAGACTGGCTCCAACTTTATCATCCTTCTGCTAGCAAGCTAAGACCTTCCTGCTCAGACAGTACTTTGAAAACTAAGGTATTGACATGCTGATCAATGGCCTACTTTTTAGGGCAACTGTATTTTCCCTGCTGGTGCTAAGTATGTTCTGATGTAATTTAATTTTTTTTAACTAGTTCGTTTTTATTGCTTTGTATTTTATAATGTTGTTTTTAAATGTTGTAAGCCACCTTGATTCTCACCGTGGGAGAAAGGCAAGGTATAAATACACTAAACATGTTTTGATACATAGTACACAAGTGCAGAGAAACTACAGTGGTACCTCGGGTTACATACACTTCAGGTTACATATGCTTCAGGTTACAGACTCCGCTAACCCAGAAATAGTACCTTGGGTTAAGAATTTTGCTTCAGGATGAGAACAGAAATCGAGCGGCGGCAGCGCAGCAGCAGCAGCAGCAGCAAGAGGCCCCATTAGCTAAAGTGGTCTTCAGGTTAAGAACAGTTTCAGGTTAAGAACGAACCTCCGGAACGAATTAAGTACGTAACCAGAGGTACCACTGTACTTTCACTACACTTATGCCCTAGGATGGCTAAAGGGCAAAGAGCATCTATTTCCATGTTTTCTCAACCGCAGATTCCTATCATATACTTCTGTCAAGAACTACTGAATACAGCACTGTCAGAGAATATCCAGAGGCTTTAAGACCCATCTCATACACAGAAGGTGAACATCTACAGACATGCCTTTAAAAACTAATGCTGTACTATTTCTGCAGCATCCATTTTTGCTTCTGCATTATTAAAGGCACTACAAAGAATGACAAAGGGGGCTGGAAAATACTACAGAACTTGGATTTCCAGCTGTTTTATGCTTATTTCTAATCCTTAAAACAGCATGAAACTTGGTGGGAATTTAGTGCTGTATTTATTATGCTGCTGCTGCTTCTCTTTTCTTTAACATTTTATTTTGATTCTGTAATATTAACAACAATCAATGACACCAAAGGGAGTGTAGTATGTAAGCATGAAATGCACAATGCACATGATCCTCACTCTTTCTTTTTTTAAGAATTGTAATATTATTTTTGCATTTGTATCCTCCCAGTAAGTCTCTCCATAAAGTGTTGTGTGAATCTGGAGCTGACGTTCTCCTGCCCAAATCATTCCCTATCATTCCTCTAGTCTCTGTTTCTACTTAAGAACAAATGCTTTAGGAATCCTTTTCATGTTCCTAAGGGGCAGATATCTGCATTTCAATGTGCACTGGCTTTGCTAAGCGCCTTGAATTTCCAGACTGAAGGCACAGAAATCTTTGAAAGAAGCAAGAGAGAGAGAAAGAGAGAGGGGCAGACAGAGAGAGAGAGAGAAGTCTGCATAATGCTCCCGTCTGGTGCGGCGGATGCTGGGCGGTGGCAGGAGGCTGAGTCAAGTTTGCTGGTTCCATATACAGGAAGGGAGGTGCTCATTCTGAATCCTGCCTGCTGTAAGGAGGACCAGAGCCATCACTCATCTATTCTAGATCCAGTGTGTGCAAGGAAAAGGCGGGCTCTCTGTGACAATAGACGGGCTGGATGTAGAGGCTTCAGTTAGCCTGCCGACAAAAAGATACGCGGAGCTCCAACGCCTATGCTAGACAGTGGGAAGGACTGGGGGTGGGCTCCCCCCCCCACTTAACCCCCTTCTTAATCCTGAATGAAAACGGGGGGGGGGGGGCTTTTATAGATCAAGAAAAGAACAAGGCACTAAAGCACCAGGAATGGGAAGTAAGCAAAGAGGAGGAGCATGAATTACATGGGGGGTGTTGAACCAGCTTCTTGCATTAATAGCTACTGAAATTGAAAAGTCTCCAAAGGTGAAAAGACGGGGGGGGGGGGAGGGTGGAATGGCAGTTACCCCACCCACCTTCTCAGCACACAAGAATTCTTCCCTGCGCTGGAACTATTCCTGTAACACCCTAGATTTTTTCCCCCTCTCCTCCTCTCCAGTGTTGGCATTCGGAGCCCCGTCAAACAAAATGCCTTTGGAAAAAGGCTGGTCGACAACAGGTTCCAGACACAAAGGAAGATCTCAGCTCTTCCCATGACAGATGGCAAAGCGCTGCTTACGGCCCCCTAAGTATTCTTTAGGGGAAAGTGGCGAGAGAGCCTGCGTAACGCGCTCGCTTCGCAGCAAAGCCTTTCCCGGACCTGCTACGTCCACGCGCACGTGTACCCCACAAAGCGCCTGCCACTCCCATCTGCTCCATTGCAGAGCCCACCCCCCACGCCAGCCCGATCCACCTCGTTGCATTTCCAGCAGATCACCTTACAACCCGAGAAAAAGAACCCCCGCATTTTTGGCCACTTTGGCTAGGACAGTTATTCACCTTCGCCAACGGAGAAGTCTCTGTAGCGCGGGCGCGCGCACACATGCACACACACCGGCCACTCCCTTCAGAAAAACCAGTCACTCTTCCTGACCACGGCCCCCCCCCCCGGGACCCTCTTCTCATTGTGCCCCACAATCAGACACCCCCGGCTCCCCAAAACATCCACTCACTCCTTCCCTGGCCACCAGCTGCGCCTCGATCACCCCCCGAACCCCCAAACTCCCCACGGCAACTCTTCCTCCGCATCCCTGCCTCCTAAGCCCCTTCCCCACTTTCCCCCTCGAGGAGCTCCCGCCGCCTTTCTCTACCCTTGCCTGCAATGCCCGCCCCCCAAGTTCGTCCCTTGCCCGCCCCCACCCCCAAGTTATTGCCTCAAGCCTTCCGTTTCAACAAGTCCTCCAGCTCAGGCCCCCCCTCAAAGAAACCCCCGATCCCTCCTGGCTCCCCGACACGGCTGCCATCGCCGCCACAGACACCTCCCCCCCAAAAGGAAACATGCCCCACACCCCACCTCCCCGCCATTTTCCTCACGGCTCCCCAGCCTGCCCCTTCCCTTCCCTCCCCCCCCCCCCCCAGGAAACTCTCTCCCCACAGCCTTGTAAGGCCACTCCTGTTTCCAACCCCCCCCCATAAGTCTGAGCCCACCCCCCACGCGGAAACTCCTCCCGCGGCCCCCCATCGCCACAAAGCCCATCGGCCACACCCCTGAGCTCCCCTCGGGGGAATCTCCCTCGGAGCTTCCCTGCCCCCCCCCCCCACCTCAAGTCTTCCTCAGCTTTCCCCCTGCCCCGCGCGCGCGCGCGCACTCACCAGGCGAGCCTGAGGCGGCGCCCTTCTTGGCAGCTGAGGCGGCGGGGGGCTCGTCTCTCTTGGGCGGCAGCGGGGCGCTGCGCGGAGGGACGGCGGGGGCGCGGGGCTCCTCCCGGTGCGGCGGAGGCGGCGGCGGCGGGGCGCTGCGCGGGGGGTCCTTGCCCTTCCCCTCAGGCAGGGAGAAGTCGGAGGCGGATGGGGAGAAAGGGGAGGTGGTGGAAGAGGGCGCCTCCGGGTGGCTGGTCCAGGCCGGCTGGTGGGGGGCAGGCGGGGGGCCCGGGGGCTTCTCGCCCAGAGGCGGGGCAGAGGCCGGGGCGGCGGGCTTCCTCTCCCTCACTTCCAGCTGCTCGTCGTCCACTTCGTCGTCGTCGTCGTCTTCGTCCTCTTCCTCAGGCTCGCCGTCGTCCTCCGCGACGAACTGGTACTGGAAAAGGGGCTGCTGAGGCTTCCACTGGTCCTGCCCTCCGGCTCCCCCCGAGGTGGCGGTGGAAGAGACCAAGGGGGACTGGTCGGGGTCGTCCATGGCTCCTTGCTTCGGCTTCTGGGCGAGAACAATGAGGAACGGGAGCAAGACACTCGCTGCTGCTGCTGCTGCTGCTGCTGCTGCTGCTTGGGCGCAAAGGAGGCGAGCGAGAGGGATGGGAGGCTGGAGCTCGCCTCGCGCACCGTCGGAGAGGGAGGGGGCAGAGAAAGAGGGAGGGAGAAAGTGAAAGGAGGAGGACCCAAAAAAAAGGGAGGGAGGGAGGGCGGCTGCGCAAATGCCTCCGGAGGAGCCGGCGCGGTGCCTCGGGAGGGAAAAAGGGGCGCCGCCGCCACCCGTGTCTCCACGCCCTGTTGAGTCACAGAAGGCGGCAGCAAGCGCGCGCAACTCGCAGCCTCCGCGCAATGAGCGGGCAGAACTTGAACCAAGTCTCAGTCCCCGTCCCGTCCCCCCCCCCGTTCTATTCCCACCCCCCGGGCGCGCTTTGGAACGAAAGGGACAGCCCAACAGGCCAGTGAGGAAGGGGGCAAGGGAGGGCGCTACCAATTAGAGGAGGAGGGGGAGGAAGATGAAGAGGCAGGCGCGCGCCATGCGCTACTACGGATCCTCCTTATCGTGCAGCAAAGAAAGTGGTTGGTTTTGCGGAGAGGCGGGGGGGAGGGGAGGTGGAAGTGGAGGTCCTGAAGTGGGGGAAAGTTCGGTCTTCGGCGCGCGAGGGCGGGGTCCGGACCGGAATGGACTCCAGCCACGCTTCGCCCTCCCCTTTCCGAGCATCTTTCAGAGGAGGAGCCGGGGAAGACCTCGTGCTTTTTGGGAAGGGGAATGTTGGCTGGCGCTTTCTCTCTGATAAGTTAGCTTGTTTTCAGATCCAAGATGACGTCGTCGTTTAAAGGAGGTGCTTTCTTTCTTTTATATATAATTTTTTTACGTGAGTCGTTTTTTAAAAAACTTTGGATATGGAAAACTTTGACAGCCGTTCAGTGGCTTGCGCTACTCAGAGTAGACCCACTGAAGTTAATAGGCACGACTGACTTGGTTTTAATAGGCCTTGTCTAGGTAGGACATCACTGAACGCAACCCTTTAATTTGTACCTGCGCAAAAGAGATGCCATGGAAAAAACATTCAGACATTGCTTGGCGATTTTTAATTAAATTGCCGGCTTAGCATCCCTTTGACATTCCCCTGGGCATAATAAGGCTGGTCACTATAATAAAAGAATGCTGAGCTGCACGGGGCTTGGGCTTAATCCGGCAGGCTCTTTCTATGATTAAGACCTGAAGTGGTGCAGAATTAAAACTGCAAGCACAGTTGTGAAGCTAAGCAGGGTCTGGTATGGCTTCAAATTGGATGGGAGACCAAGTGTGTTGCAGGGGGCTGGCCTAGATGACTTTCAGGATCCCTTCCAACTCTACCATTTTATTATTCTGAATTCTTCAGGTAAAGATCTCTTTAGTGCATCTGACTGCAGACCAGGAGAAGCCTGACTTCCTGAACGTCTGCACTAGCGGTGAGAAACCTGTGGCCGTCTGTGGTGGTTTTTTGGGGGGATGCCATATGCCATCAGCGCCAACCAGCCAGCCCAGTGGTCAGGGATGATGGGTACTGTAGTCCAGCAACATTTGTTGGGCCACAAGTTCCACATCACCTGTTGCCTGGAGTAATTAAATATTTTAAGGAGTGCATTGATCTATAAGTCAAGAAAATTATAGAACAGAAGTAGTTCTGTTATCATGCGAGTGTTTCTGTGCAGGCCTGGCCAGCTCTGTATGCTAAGCCCTTTACTATTATCTGTGGTGGCAAATCCCATTGCTTCAGAATTTGGGTTACCACATGCCTTTGCAACGAAGGCTTTCATAAACAGAGGTGGATAAACGATTATAAGATGACGTAGCCGGTAATTACAAAGGGGTAATAGCTAACGTTTAAGAGGACATTATTATAATTGACGAAAAGCATTTCTTGTGTTTTAGTTTATTTCCACTCTGCCTTTGATGTGAGCTGGCCTTAGGGATTCCTTGAGGATTGACAGACAGGATGGGAATTAATAAAATATGTACAACAAAATTGTTTAAACAATTGAAACCCTTCGATTAAAAATACGTTTAAAGCTTTTCAGAAATGTGTTTCTCTGCAGAGCCTTGAAGAAGGACCATCTCTAGCCTCTGGGGTGGACTCTTCCGCCCCAACCACACATAAACATTATATATAGTCTTCATTTATATAATACCCCTATGTAGTTCATCAACATCTGGAGGGCCACTGGTTTCCTGCCCTAGAGGATGGTAGCTGCCTCATTCCCACTGACACAGTTAGTGTGCTGCGGGACAACCACTTCCTCAAAAAACACCATTTCCTATTATTAAAAAAGGGTGTTTTCCTTCTCTACCCAGGCTAGAGGCCTTTTTGCTGTGCCAGGGCAGAGAGAGAGGTCTCCCTGCTGCTGTGCCTCAAGTGGCAGAACAAAACCTTGTTTCTTTATCTCCAGCGCTGTCCAAACAGACATGACTAATGTTACAGCTTCTTGACGATAATTACACGTATCCTAATCTCCCAAGCAGGGATAGATTTCAGGGGTGCCAGCTTATATATTTGAGAAGAAGGTCGCTGGCGATGATGATACTTTTGTGATAAAGGTAAAGGGACCCCTGACTATTAGGTCCAATCGTGGACGACTCTGGGGTTGCAGTGCTCATCTCGCTTTATTGGCCAAGGGAGCCGGCGTACATGACTAAGCCGCTTCTGGAGAACCAGAGCAGTGCACAGAAACGCCGTTTACCTTCCCGCAGGAGCAGTACCTATTTATCTACTTGCACTTGGACGTGCTTTCAAACTGCTAGGTGGGCAGGAGCAGGGTCTGAGCAACGGGAGCTCACCCCATTGCGGGGATTTGAACCGCCGACCTTCTGATCAGCAAGTCCTAGGCTCTGGTTTAACCCACAGCGCCACCCACATCCCTTTTAGTTTTGTGATAGTGCGGCTTAATTACACACACGTACAGGCTCAGCATCAGATGGGAGAGCTCACAGCTTTAACTTCCCAACTGATCCTGCTCCTTCCCATTAGGTTTCTAGGGAGTTCCCAAAGTCACCGCTTTCGTTTCAGTGCATAGAGCAAGCCAAGCATCCTTCCCAGCTACCACCAGTATAAGATTGGCCACTGACCTGTTCTCCTTCATCCAAGATGACGTTGCCTCAGCCCAGGTGATGGGTGAAGGTCTGCCCCCTACTGGAAGCATCAGTAGCTAGTAATTTCTCTGGCAACGTTCCTATGCTTGGCCAACTCTTGAGTCAAGCAAAGAGATACTTATCAGACTTGGCGATGGTTGCAAGGAGACTGGTTTGACCGCTTCTGCAGTTCCTTCTACACAATCCTGTTTTACAGATGATAGAACTACAAGCCTGGAGGAGACTTGGATAGGACATCCAGACTAACACCCACACCCCGTCATGCAACTTTATTATACATACATTGTGTGGGAGGACTTAACTTTTTCATATTACTTCCCCATAACTGAGAAGCAACAGCTTGGTTTCCTGCTTTGAAGAACACGGGGAGGAGCAGAACGCTGGTGCTCTCCACATTGTGACTTTATTTTAGGTGACAAATTAATGGGACAGAAAGGGCCTGTCTGGCAATGTGCATGGCTGTCTGTATGTACTCATAGCCAGTGGTGTCTCCAGGGCTATGACTCAGACATCAATGGTGGCACTTAGCAGAATGCACAAGCACAACCAAGGCTGGCTTACCGCATTTGGATTTAGTGACATCATACAAATTGCCCTCTTAACAATCCATAGTCTAAAATTTTCTAACTGGACCACTCACTTCCAGTGGCCCATCAAGCCAGGAAGAAATGGTGGTAGTGATGTGGAGACCCAGATTATGCTACTCAGGCTGTGTGCACATCCATGTATAGCACATGACTTCCCTCCAAAGAATTATGGGAACTGTAATCTAATAAGACATGGGTGGCGCTGTAGGTTAAACCACAGAGCCTAGGGCTTGCCAGTCAGAAGGTTGGTGGTTCAAATCCCCGCAATGGGATGAGCTCCCGTTGCTCGGTCCCTGCTCCTGCCAACCTAGCAGTTCGAAAGCACGTCAGAGTGCAAGTAGATAAATAGGTACCGTTCCGGCAGGAAGGTAAACGGCGTTTCCGTGCGCTGCTCTGGTTCGTCAGAAGTAGCTTAGTCATGCTGGCCACATGACCCGGAAGCTGTACGCCGGCTCCCTTGGCCAATAAAGCCAGATGAGCGCCGCAACCCCAGAGTCGGCCACGACTGGACCTAATGGTCAGGGGTCCCTTTACCTTTACCTAATCTGATAAGGGTACTTGTAGCCCTGTGATAGAGAAATGACCATTCCCAGAATCCTTTGGGGGAAGTCATTTGCTTTAAATATATATTGTGAATGTAGCCTTGGTACAGAGTGCCAGTGCTAAATTTCTAGTTCCACACACCCGCCTGAAGGTATTAGACGTCTAAGCCAAGGATTTTGTGATTTAAAAAGAAAAGAAAGACATATTTCTGTAGTTAAACAAGGTATTGTTTTTTTTAGCCGTGTCATTCATGGCCCTGACTCATTCCACTATTTATAAAGTCCACGGTGAAAAGCGAGGGATGCAAATTGTGTCATTACTTCATCCCAAGCAGTAGGAGAATCTGCACCAGCTTGTCAGTGTCTGGCAACGAGCCCCTGGCGGAAGCTTATATTGGCTGCAGATTAGTTGATCTCTCCGCTTTGCCTGAAGAAAAGACTTCCATGGGCACCTGTGAAAATCAGATATGGAGCTTGGTGGTGCTGGTCTTCTGAACTGGAAGGGTGTGTGTGTGTGTGAGAGAGAGAGAGAGACAGAGAGACAGAGAGAGACAGACAGACAGAGAGAGACAGACAGACAGAGAGAGAGAAAGCGCTCTTCTGTTAATATCAGTAGCACTTGCTAACCATGGAAAGGAGCTCAGTTAAGTGCATTGAAGCCCCATTCACTGCATGAGCAGAGGTTTAAGCGCACAATTAAAGGTAAAGGGACCCCTGACCATTAGGTCCAGTCGTGACTGACTCTGGGGTTGCGGCGCTCATCTTGCTTTATTGGCCGAGGGAGCTGGCGTACAGCTTCCGGGTCATGTGGCCAGCATGACTAAGCCGCTTCTGGCGAACCAGAGCAGTGCACGGAAACGCCTTCCCGCTGGAGCGGTACCTATTTATATACTTGCACTTTGATGTGCTTTCGAAATGCTAGGTTGGCAGGAGCAGGGACCGAGCAACGGGAGTTCACCCCGTCATGGGGATTCGAACAGCCGACCTTCTGATCGGCAAGCCCTAGGCTCAGTGGTTTAACCCACAGCGCCACCCATGTCCCAATATGAATAACTGGATCTGTAAAATGTGATTTCCTTTTCCTGAATCGGCCTCGGTGTAATTGCCTGTCACTGGAAGGACAGATCCTGAAGCTGAGGTTCCAATACTTTGGTCACCTCATGAGAAGAGACCCTGATGTTGGGAAAGATTGAGGGCACAAGGAGAAGGGGACGACAGAGGACGAGATGGTTGGACAGTGTTCTCGAAGTTACGAGCATGAGTTTGACCAAACTGTGGGAGGCAGTGGAAGACAGGAGTGCCTGGCGTGCTCTGGTCCATGGGGTCACGAAGAGTTGGACACGACTAAATGACTAAACAACAACAAAATTCAAAATGTTCTGCAGACACAGGGCAACTGGTTCTCCACTGGATAAAATGTGGGGGGTGGGGGAGGTGTTCATAGCTCCATCTTTTGTCTGCTTGACTGGTCCGTTTCCATGGATACACGCCACTGACAGACATTCCGGGGCTGAAAGACAGGCAGAACTTTGCTTTCTAATAATAATTAGTACAAATATCAAAATCCTACCAACATAATTGGAATTGTAACGTTGGAAGGGATCTCAAGGAATCAACTAGTCCAATTCCCTTCAGTTCAGGACTCCCACCCATTTTGAAACCTTATCTGGCCCTGCTTAGCTTTGCAAACATGCTAGGAGATTTATTTCTGCCCCACTAGGATTTAGGGCAGGTTGCAAGGGACAGAATCCAACCACTTAACAGCTCACAACTTTGTTCGTGAGGCAACAAAGACAATGGTGGGCTGCCAGCCTGTGCACGTTTATTCAGAAGTAAGCTACCTGTTTGAACAGTTGATTTAGGCTCCAGTCTGAAACCAGATTTTGGGTCCATGAGCCACCAGCTGAAGGCAAATGTTTGAAAATGTGCCTCATTTTTGGCCTGAACTGAAATATAATAACCTGCCTTAAACCAAGTCATATCTTTGGTCCATCTAGCACAGTATTGTCAACACTGGCTGGCAGCAACTGCTGCAAGGTTTCAGGCAGAGGTATTTCTCAGCACTGCTTGTTGAGTCTGGAACTGGTGGTCCTCAAGAGCTTCTTCCTCTCGTCCTTTCAGTTTGATGCCTTGTATTGCTCAATCTGTTTGGAGCTCTTCCCCTGTCTCTTATCTCCAATACTGAGTCACTTCCCTCCTTCCGATATTAGACGAAAAACTCTTCCGCTTCTCTTTAAGCTGCATATTGATTCTCTGTCTCCATCAAACAGACCGCAGTAAACGCACAGTGTGAAGGATGTGGCATAAAAACAAACCGAGTTTAATTTTGAGCAATATACCTCACTCCGCATGAGTGTGCTTGGGTGAGACTTGACACCCAAATTAAGGCATAATTTGGCTTTATGCGTGTTGTTGTTGTTGTTTAGTCGTTTAGTCGTGTCCGACTCTTCGTGACCCCATAGACCAGAGCACGCCAGGCACTCCTGTCTTCCACTGCCTCCCCCAGTTTGGTCAGACTCATGCTGGTAACTTCCAGAACACTGTCCAACCATCTCGTCCTCTGTCGTCCCCTTCTCCTTGTGCCCTCCATCTTTCCCAGCATCAGGGTCTTTTCCAGGGAGTCTTCTCTTCTCATGAGGTGGCCAAAGTACTGGAGCCTCAGCTTCAGGATCTGTCCTTCCAGTGAGCACTCAGGGCTGATTTCCTTCCAAATGGATAGGTTTGATCTTCTTGCAGTCCATGGGACTCTCAAGAGTCTCCTCCAGCACCATAATTCAAAAGCATCAATTCTTCAGCGATCAGCCT